TTGCACTAGTTCAGGTCGCTCCCAGCCCCGTCCAACCTGGCCTTGAACCCTCCCAGGGAGGGGGCAGCCACAGCTGCTCTGGGCACCCTGGGCCAGCGCCTCACCCCCCGCACAGGGGAGAATTTCTTCCTTATATATAACCTAATTCTACCCACTTTCAGTTTAAAGCTATTACCTCATCCTACCACTACACTCCCTGATCCAGAGTCCCCCCCCCCCCCTCCTGTCCCCCCTTTAAGCCCTGGGAGGCCGCTCGAAGGTCCCCCCGGACCCTTCTCTTCTCCAGGCTGAGCCCCCCCAACTCTCTCAGCCCGGCCCCCCAGGGGAGCTGCTCCAGCCCCCCCAGCATCTCCGTGGCCTCCTCTGGCCCCGCTCGAGCAGCTCCGTGTCCTTCTGCTGTTGGGGGCCCCCGAGCTGGCCCCAGCACTGCAGGGGGGGTCTCAGGAGAGCAGAATAGAGGAGGACAATCCCCTCCCTCACCCTGCTGCCCACACTTCTCTCGCTGCAGCCCAGGGCACAGTTGGCTTTCAAGTCATGCAACTGCTTTCAGTGCTAAAATTGTGCCTCTTGTTTCCAGTGCTATCCCCATTTTTGCTCTCCAGTCATCAAGTTGTCCTGTGGCTGCTCCTCACGGGCAGGAGAGCTGCCTGCTGCCGGACGTCTTGCCCCCAGCTGGGTGCCAGCAGCTTGGACCTCCTCACCACCCAAGTCCACTTCTCCCCACCACTGCGTGGAGGGACACGTTAGAACAGGGAAGAAAAAAAAAAAAAAGTGAACTAAAGCCAATTAAAAGCAGAGGGAAAATGCAGGGAGGCAGGATGTCATTACCAGAGCTGGAATTTGGCCTGGGTGCCATGGAGATGAAACACAGCAGATGGTTAAGGTGTACCCGGGAAGCACGCGCACGGCACCTGACTATAGATTTAAGCCCAATTAATACAACAAAAGAGAAAACTTGACAAGGAAGCCAGAGACCTACAAAATGAATAAGTGAACCATGAAAAGAGGAGGCTCTCCCATCCGAAAAAAAAAAAAAAAAAAAAAAAATGCAGCAGAGTGTACAATACCTACAGAGCCGCGAATAAACTGAAGTTGGAACAGATGGAGACAGAAACAAACCGCCATGTGTATTAGTTGGCCACCAAGTAAAAGAGCCGGCCTGGGGAAAGAGCTTCCCCGCAATTCAGGGCGAGAACAATAGGCTCTGGTCCTGCAGCACCCCCTTCCCAAGGTGCTCAATGTCCTTCACGTGGCTTAATTCAAGGCTCGCAAGCTGCAGCGCTCTCAGATACGAGACCCTAACAAACGACCAGGAAAGCATATTCTTTTCAATCATCAACCATGTGTCTCTAATTAAGAGAGCCCACGCAGCAGAGACGGGAGCCTTCCGTTGCATGGGACCAGCCCCCAGCTACGTGGCCCGGCCTCAGACCCGATCCAAAACGGGGTCGGGGGATGACAAACAAGGACTTTCCGATGGACTGTGACTGCCCTGACGTGGCCACGGTCACAGCCTGCTGGGAAAACACTCGGTAAACCCCAGTGCTACCTCGGGGGCACTTTGGTGGCCTTTATCTTGGCAGGGAGAGCGGCTTTGCCCATAAACGTTTCACTGAATTTTAGCTGATCGCCTGCGAACTGAAGCCCTGGCCAGGTCAGAGAGGAGATGAGCCAACGCGCCCTGGGACTGGGAGCAGGGAGAGGTTAGTGTGGTGCAATTAAGCACAACAAAAGAAACCCCTCGCTTCGAGGGCATTTAAAATCCCAGCTGTGAGGAAGAGGAGGCACGCTTCCTGAGGAGCTTTGGCTGCTGGCTTCCCAAAAACCAGCCCCCCCCCCTCGGGCCAGGCTGGCAGGAGCGGGCGCTCAGCTTTCCCTCCAGGCCTGCAAACACAGGGCCATCCCACCGCTGCATCTGTGATGTAAATCCCAAAGATAAACAAGCCCAGCTCTGCAGACAACATTTTATCACCCGCTTTAAAGGCAGGCAGCGTGGGGCTGAGCCCCCCCCACCCATGGCAAGATCAGCCTGGAAGCAACAAGCTTTTCATGGCATCAAGTCCTGCCTTGAAGCTGAGCAGTCGAAATTTTACTTACTTCAAAGGAAGAGGGCTTTTGCTGAGCCACTCGCTCCCTGAAAGCCCTGTCCCTAAAATTCCTGTCCCTAAAATCCCTTCCTTCCTTCCTTCCCTCCGTGCAGACCAGCGTTGCTGCCTTGCACAGCGGCAGGCGTGCTCGTGCTCCCGCTCCTCGTCGTGCTGAGGAGACACCAGCCTGTTTCCCCACCACCACAACTGACTTTATAAAATAACACCGGCTGAGAGGCAGCACCTGGAACGAGCCCAAGCACAGGCACAAGCTATAAAAAAATCCCCCCCCCATCTCTACCCCCACCCAATTCCCTCTGTGGCTTTAAGCAAATCACATAACTTTTCCTCTTTAGTTTCTGCACCTGGGAGAGAGTAATATTTACCTACCCCAGAAGGGTGTTGAGAGGATTAGTTAATGTTTGCCCAGCATTTTAAAGAATAAAATATTCTGTATTAATTCCTAGCTGCTGAAAAGACTGATATGTATGACTCTCATTAGCTCCAACGGAAGATTTTTTTCCTCGAGTTGGGCTTTACCGCTTCGGAAAAGTAGAAGCGAGCTGATGTGATATTAACATTTCAAAAAGCGCCCGCAGCACGCGCTGTAAAACCCCTTCTCTTTTCACCGCCGCCAGCCTCCCGCTCCGCCGCGGAGGTTGCACCTGCACCTGCGAAGCATTAAAGCAGCCCAAATTCAACACGGGTGTCTGGGGCTTCGCCAGCGGCCCTGGGTAACGCCCTGGGAGGGGGGGGTCCCTGGTGGAACGGCAGGGAGCTGGCCTTGCCTGCGAGGTGTCCTCTCGGCGGTGGAAAAAGCAGCCGTTGCGCCGGGATTGCCCATCATCAGCGTTGCCTAGCTCTTATGTGAAAGACAGGGAGCCCGCGGAGGTTTCCGTGCCCTGACGGCTGCGAGCTGTAAAGGGGGGTTAGGGGAGGGGGGGGGGGATCCCCGCAGCCCACCCGTGGATGTGCCATGTCACCGCTCGGGTCGTGCCCCCTGCGACCCGGCACCGGGCAGAAAGAAAAAGAGATTGCTAAGACCCGGGCTGCGGCAGAGCACCCGGCAGGCTCAGCACGCTTCTGCGACGCAGAACTAGGCGAAACGCATCGCCGCGCGTCCCGCAGATCAACCCCACCGCCCCCCCCTGCTCGGGCCCTTTACGCTCCCAGCGTGGCACCGTCCTTCCCTCCCCCGTGGCCTGGGCACCTCGTTTCGGAGCGGGGTGACGGCGAGGTGCCACCTCTGCGTGGCGTTGCGCCCCCGGGGCTCATTCCCCCTCCGCGGTTCCCCACCACCGCAGCTCGCCCCGACGCTGGTATCTCCCGCGCGATGGACGGGTGCCCACGCCGCCGTAGACTTGGGGGGGTGGGGGGGGGTCCAGGTCTCACTGACGACGAGTGGGAATGCCGGCAGCCCTCGTGGGCTCCCGGGACGGAACGAGAGGGAGGAAAGGGGCCTGGCTTTGGCCCACGGTGTCTGCGGCACGCTGGGGTGAGCAAACCGCACCGGGCACCTCCGGCAAACCCCGCGGCCGTGGCGGGCGCACCTCTGTACGCCCGGCCTCAAAAGCGGCGTGGCTGGGCCGACCCCCACGGCAGCAAGGGGGGGGGGGGGGGCTCCCAGACCAGAGCCCGCCAGAAAGGGATTTGGTTTTAACTGCTAGTTCGCTGCCTGCCCGCAGAAGTAGGGGGCTGTACAAGAAGGGAAAGGCTGGAGTTTGAAAATCAGGCTAACCCCCCCCCCCCCCAAAACTCACGAAAGAAAAATGTCACCAAAGCAAAGCAGCCCCCCGCCCAAGTTTTGGGGAGGGGGAAGCGGGTTTGGAGCCTGAGAATGATGGGGCGACCTTTCCCTCCTCGCTTCTGGCAAAGGTAAAAGGCCTCCCTGCGGAGGTGTCCGCGCCGGGGAAGCCCCCAGCCACTAAAGCATCCCTTGGTGCCTTCAGGCACCTCCCCACCTCCTGCCCGCGGGCGGATCTCAGCCCCCCAGCCCCAGGTCACCCTGGCGAGCCCCGGCCAGGGGCAGCGGAGCGGAGGGGAGGGCTCAGCTCCCCTTTCCGGAGGAGCCCCGCTGTCCCCATCCCTCCCTTCCTCTTCCCCTCTTGACCGATTTCCAGGCCAGCAGGCAGCGGCCGACGCGCCGCAGGCGGCTGCTGAGCAGAATCAGGGGCACAGACCAAAACGTGACTCATTTCTAACGTAACGCAGCCTGCGAGGCGTTTTGTTTGGGAGCTTAAATCGCTCCTCCGCTGCTTTCGTAGCGGCTTGTTTCAAGGGTGAGTAAGCAGGCGGTGGCAGACACGGCTTTTGTTACTCCCAGAGCTGCGAAGCTGCACCATCTCACGGCGGTGCTCAGCTGCCTGCATCAGCCGCCGCTCGCGGCACACTTGGAAGAATTCAGCGATGATGCCCAGGTAGCCAGACCGAGCTGAGCTGGAGCCCAGCATATTCCAGTGACGGTATTCCGTGGTGACTCACCAGTTGCCCGCCCTCGATTACTCATTGTTTTTATCTCACCATTTTATTTCGATATTCTTGACAACTTCCAAGAAAGCCCTGTCACAGGCAGAGGTCGAGGGCAACGAAAACAGCTTCAAGCTGTAACCGAAGCTCCTCTCTGCTCAATTAGCAGTGTGCGAGTTAAAGTGGATTTTGTGATGAATATCCCTGAAGACTGAATGATGCCTCTTGAGGAGGGAGAAATATGAAAAAACTGTTCAAGCTACAACAGTGTGAGCATTTCATGTATTTATACACGTGCGTATACTCATGCATATGCAAAAGGGTAAACAGAGAAACACGCATCTATCAGATGAGAAAGTGAAACTTCCTGCATTTTTGAAGAGGACTCCTTTAAAAGAGCTTATTCCATAGATATTTTTTATATTTAAAAACACAGCACTTGCACACTTTTTTGAGATAGAATCGTATGTTTTATTTCCATCCCAGGTTAAACTTCTATGGCCTTTTTTTCTCCTGCTGCTCCAGAATTCCACATTTCTCATCTCTGTTGCTACATTTAACCACTTCTAACTTGAACAACTGATCATCAGGAAGACTCTTTGCGTAGCATGGAGCAGCACAGCTTGAAAGCTGCAAAACCCACGTCGCCTTCAGCACAAATATGAAACTTTTGTCAACTGGAGGCACAAAAGCCACTTCCCCAGGAGAAGGTGGCACCACAAACACCAAAGCCTAGGCAAAAGTGCTGCACTGTAATTGTGGGGTTATTTACACAGAGCAGTTCAAATTCCACTTTTAATTCCAGTGCCAAAAGTTTCGGGCTCCAGATAAATCACACCTTCCCCTTCAAAGAGGCTGGTTGCATTTATGGCTTGTTTCAGAGTCCAAGGGCCCGGGCGGGGGTGAAAAGCCGGGGGCAGAGCGGGGCGATGCCCCACATCGGGCGGCGGGGAGAGGAACCGCCAGATTCGGTTCCCAGCAGCGCTCGGCACTCTCGGGTAACCTCGGCTGTGTCATTCAGCCTCCTGCTGACTCAGTTCCTCATTCGTCCTGTGGAAATAACACCGCTTCTTCATGTCGTAGGAGCTGGGGGGGGGGGGCAGATAAATACCTTTTAATTCGGTATCAGAATCCACTTGAGAAGCATAACTGAAACAGAGGTCGGTTAGGATCTAAAGGAACGGCGCGAGCCAGGGCTGGGAGGAAGGGACGAGGCGTACGATACGAAGGCGGGGGAGCTCGCCGAACCGAGCCGATTCCTTGGATCGCCTCCGGATAGTTCCGAGCGAGAGCTCTGGTTCCCCGTAGGGCATGGAAGATTCCAGGGACCGAACGGTTTCCCCTAAGAGTCGAGGGTCGCTTTGCAAACGCCGTTTCCCTTCTCTCTCCCTGCCGCGCTCGGACAGGGCTTGGCCGGGAGAGGTGCCGATCCCGGGTGGGGCTCCCGCTCCCGGGGAGCCCCTGGGGTCCCCTCGGCCGCTCCGCAGAGCCCGCGGCTCCCGCCTCCCTGCCGGCGAGGGAACCGAAACACAGCACCTCCCCGACCTCCCCCCCCCCCCCCCGCACCCCTCCCAAAGTCAGGGCACCCCACCCGAGTCCCCGCTGGACCGGTGGCTGAACCCTGGGGGCCGCGCTGGACTTTGGAGGACGGCGCGTTTCGGCGCGTCAAGGCGGCCGCACCACCCAGGTTCTCCCGCCTCCAGCATCCCCAGCCCGTGAGGGAGACGCGGTGACCACCGCCCAGGGACGCGCACGGCCAGGGGAGGCTTGAAGGCAAGCGACCCCCACATGAATATTCGCCTCCAGGCACTACGTGGCTGCCCACAACCCCCCCTCGCCCTCGGCACATTTTGGTGGGTGAGCCAGGGGAGGTAATAATACTTCTCTTTTTTTTTTCACGGAAGACAAAGCTGCGGAAGACACCGATTCCCATGGCAACGAAGGCAGAGAAGAAGCGTCCCAAGATGCGATTTGCTGTCACCATACCCACCTCGCGGCGGAGAAGGACGAGTGATAGCTCTGAAAGGAACTGTTTCCATGGGACCCTTCCCAGCGAGCCCACGCGCTGACAACCCAACCGTCAGCCACAGCTTCGGGTGTCAAACAGGTCTGACTGGTAGAGAGCAACGCTGCTGCCTCCCCTAGCAAATGCTGCCTTTGTCTCATCCTCTTCCGAGGAAGAGTGCCCTCCTCTCCCCCCAGAGCCTGCCTACCCCCCAACAAGCCACGCTGCCGCTTGCTAATCCACTTACCCAGGCAATTACGCTCAACTTCTCAGCTAAACACCATCCTGGTTTGGTTTGGTTTTGTTTTTTTTTGTTTTTTTTTTTTTTTTTTTTTTTAATCCATGGAGTGCTACCTTAAACTATGTTGAAAGCTCCTCACAGCGCAACACAGTTATGCTTCGGTAGTGTGTGCTATATAAGTGTATTTCCTTCCGACACTTTAATTTATCATAGCTCTCCCCTCCCAACCCTGCCCCTGCGGTTCCCCGGGGAAAGTTAGTGAATTTATGCGGGAACAAAGTCACCTTGAGCTTTAATCCACACCCTAGCAGAAGGAATACGTCTGTCGGCAATCACATCCACCCACTCTGCGACCGCATTACAATGCTCACTTTGTTAGCACGGAAAACACTGGCTCCCTTTCCAGTCCTGGAGACAAGCTACCACAAAGGCCGGAGCAAAGAAAATGGACTGGGGACGGAAGAGGGAGGGATCCGTCCCTGCACGTTTGAGGCCGAACAGGTAAACTGAGGTGAAACAGCGGAAGTCGGAAGAAAAGAGCAAATCAGGCAAACCGAGTCCTCGTCTGATGATATAACCCCGCCAAAACGAGTCCCTGCTGCCTTCCTGTACAAAAAGTGAGGGCAGGTGAGAAAACTGCAGTCAACAGCCAGAGAAGACATTTAGAGATCCCTGCCCAGCTGACAGTGAAACAGCGGCCGAGGAGAGCGGCCAAGCACAGCAGAACCAGCCGTGCAAAACAATCTGGATTTTGCCATCTTGGAGCAAAGGCCAGGATTCCCTCAGAACCGGGGCGGCTGGCACCCAGCTGCTGCGACCACGGCTCCACGTTCCCCCACCACCTTCCCCCTTCCCTCAGGGAAAGCAGCCCTGGCGCTGCCGGGCACACGGGCCCCAGGGCAGGCGTTTCAAAACGGGTCTGGGAGCTCCCGGAGCCCCCCAGCAGCGTCGCGGATGTGCCCGGGGAGCAAAGCTGGGCAGCGAAAAGCCACCTCCAGCAGAGACAGCCCTGCGGAGGGGCTCACCTGCTTCGGGGGTGGGCACTGGTTCAGAAACCACGGGTGCTGGCGCAGGGCTGATGCACGCCCGGCTCCCACCTCCGCCTCTCTCCTCGCCTAACAGCTCCCTGGCATTCAGCAGCAGCAACCGCAGCTGCCTGTTGCGGTCTGTCCTACTTGGTGCCGTGCCTTGAGAAGCAGCCCTGGGATGAACCTGCTCCTGACTGGAAGGAATGAAACCTTCATCTTCCCAGAAGGGCGTAAGAGTTGCAGCAGAGGGCAAGGAGGCGGAGGGAGAGGTGAAGTTGAGCCAGTCCGGATGAAACTGCCTCCCGGATAACTCCCATCCTTCCGGCTGAACAGCCCAGTCAGCTGCCACCCAATTGCTTTGTCGTCTTTGGCTTTTGTCGGCCCCGCTGTCGCTTTTTCTCTGCCGCCCCGCACCCCAGAGCAGATGAGCCAGTTCCCACAAACTGGCCCCACCTGACAAACAGGAAAAAGACCCGAGGATGGAGATCTCCGGGCGTAGGAGTTCGCTGAACTAGGGCTGGAATCCAGGAGCCCGGGGAAATCAACCCACCCCAAATCCCCGGTGCTTCACGCACCACATCGTAAGGAAAGAAGGTTGAAATAGCACGTCTAAGTAATCTCATCCTTATCTGCTCTCATGCCACCGGCACACTCTGGATTACAGCGTTACCGACGGGGCTCACAAGGACAAGAGGTGGTGCTGTGTGGATTTCCTACCCCTCGCACCCGAGCAAGAACACCAACGGACACAGACTCCACCAATTCACCCAGAGGTCCATCAACTACCACCTGCTGCTTTAAAAACTATTCACAGGAAGATCGGTTGTCCCCAGATAGTTTACTTGAACTTCTGTAATCTTAGGAGAAGTCTTTCTTCTCCTGACGGCAATTTTAAACCTCACAGGAGAGCCACACGGCTCGCTACCTGCTCGGTCAAAGGAGACATCCCAGGAGGAGCTCCTGGGATCCAGTTGTACAGACACAATCACCAGCGCAGGAGAACCGAAGAGAACATTCACAGCAACTGCCCCAGTCCTCCTTCTTTGCCTCGCTGTCAATATTCATCAAATCAACTCTAATTTAGGAAACGCTTTAATAGAACCGAGATGCTTTCATGGGCCTGTACATAAAACACCCCCCCCCCCCCCAGTCCAAGCCCACAAACTGGACTCAGAGCTCGCATTTACTGGCAAATGGCTGTTTACTGAAAGGATTAGATAAGGCCTGACAAAGATGTAGGAAGGTGGGCAAGCTGTGCCTTAGAAAACTTTCGCAATACAGAACCCTAAACATCGCTGTAGGCGCTTTCGGTTAGAAGGGAACCTAGAAAAGGAGGGGGCAGAAATTGCAAATAGGTTTGGCAGGGCACTTCGGCCACCACTGGGTAGAGGGCAAAATTACACGGGAATAACCAGACAGCAGCGTGTCTGACACATCCCTGAACAGCCAGTGCTTCCACCAGTGAGATCTGCGGGACTGTCTCGAAGAAGATACCTTCTCCTTTTACCACGGGGAGCAAAGGATAACCCTTAAAACACGCTGCTGCTTTTTCCTCCTGCTTTCCTGCGGAAGGGAGACCTGCTTCCCTGGGTCGGGCGAGGACAAGAAGCTCACGAGCTCTCTCAGGCTGCCCAGCACGTGGAGCAGAAGCCCAATCCTTGCCCCTTTGGAGAGCAGCGTGACACGGGCACCAGGCCGGCCGCGTGCCCTTGGGTCCCAGACCGCCGAGAACCCCGGGGCGCGGGAGCTTTGCTGCACCAACCTTCCTCGATAGGGAAGAGCATTAGGAGGCTGAAGCGCACCTTTTCTTTTGTAGCTGATTCGGTCAGTCAGCCCGTCTCAGCCCAGGCTCCAACCCAGCACCCCCAGATCAGGCCCTGACGCGCGTCCTCCGCGCTCCGAAGTTCAGACATTCTGATGCTTGTGCTTGCCCAGGCACTGGGCTCTGGAGATCACAGATCTCGGGGAGGGGGAGACTGCTATTAGCATTTTCAAATAAACACTCAAAGCTCTACTGCTTAAAGTACTTCCATAGCAGGCTGCAAAGCTCCTCGTGAGTGGGGGGGGAAAAAAAAAAAAAAAAAAAAAGCGACAGAAAAGCGGCAAAAATATGAATTGTTACTTTTCTTGAGGAATAGCACCATAGCACCACCAAACTACTTGGAAGAGAGGGACCTGCACATGCAGGCAGGGGGGTTTCTCCAGCAATCCAGTATCGTGCTCAACTCCGAATTTACAGTCAACTATAAAACACAAACACAATTACAGAGTTCCCCACTGTGTCCGTTTCAACACGGCCGAGCGTGGGTGTGGATTGGTGTTTAAAGAAACAAGCCACGGGAGAGACGGCACAGCAGGGCCAGCAGCCACATGGCAGGTTTAATTTCCAGGGAAGAACACCTGACTTACACACGCAAATCGACAAATGAATAAATAAAAGCAAGTCTGCCTTCTGGCTTCTTTATCGAAGGCCATTAATTACTCCGTTAGGGGCATCTCTGTTAGGGGACTCTCGCAAAGTTTCTCATGAGACTGATCAGGAGAAGCACCAAACCACAGCACGCGGGAACACGGCCCCCGTTTAGGTCGGGGTGAGGGTTGGGTTTCAGCCTTAGTCAGGGCTTAACTCTTCACAGCAGTTGCATGAAAAGCAGCTGTTAGAGCTGGGCTGGTAACGAGGAGGAAGAGAAGCACCCTCAGCAGAACCGCACTGAGGAGAGCGGAATAAAGCACACGGCAGAATCAGCCCGGATCAAGTCGAAGAACGTTTATTCGTGTGAGATCAGCTTGGACACAACCAGACTGAAAAAAAAAAAAACCTTTCTCCACCTGAGCACCTGGAGGAAACACACAGAACCAAAAATCCCGGACCACCACCACCAAAAGAAAAGTCCTAGGCACGCCTCGCTGACCGAGGGTGGCCTCAAAGCACCGCCGCGCACTTCCACGTGAGCCGCTGCTCCAACGCGCCTGACGCTTCTCCGGAGGGGACAGAACTGTTTACAGGAAACCATTTGTTAGAGGGGCCTGCCTCTCCTCCTCCCCGCCCCCCCAAACCCCGGCCACATCCCCCTCCCCACCCCACCTTTCAGCGTGAAGCTTATCTAGCGCCCGGCCGGCCAAAAAACTCACCCAGGTTGGAATTTAAAACCACAGATTCTCAGACGGCGTGGCCGGGGCAACCGGTGCCACCATCGACTTGGGAACTAAGTTTCAGGGAGTTTTGATTCTGTTTGTGCAGGGGCTAACGAATAGCTTGGGATGCGACCAGTGACCCCAGGGCCTAATTCCCGTAACGGGATGACAGATTGTCTGTCTCCTGCTCTAATTATACAGGCAAAAATTGGAACGGGAATGAGAAGAGACATGAACAGGATTCAGGTCCCTCATCAGCTTAACGGCGTAATTTTCCCAAGCACTGAAATTTTTCGAGGGTTAGCAAAAAAAAAATGCAAAGAATCACCTCCACCAAGAATGAAAGAAAGAGACTCTAAAAAAAAAAAGTATAAATTGGAGCAACTGAGCTTTACAGCAAGCACAGAACCGTCACTGCGGACGCAGCGAGCGCCAAGCAACCGTTCAATACAGTCAAAACTGTAAGGCACTAATAATGTTCTACTCGTTACAATCAACACACGACTGAAAATTGACATTCATAAATTAAAAAAAAAAAAAAAAAAAAATCACTGTACATTTTAAAAAAGCAACTTTTCTCATTTAAAAAGCTTCAGGTTTTCAGCTCCAATTATTTTCCTGCCCCCTTACCCAGGCATCACTGACTAGTTAGACTGAGCGACCAGAAGTTCTGCTGGTTAAAACATACCTGGTACGAGGAAACGTTCCGAGGCATACGCAGAAAACAATTTGTTGGGAAGTTACTCGACGACCCCATGAGCATCACCAACAAACGTGAGTAGTGGCAGTGGGTCACCCTGCTTACCGCGGTACCGCAAACTACCCAAACACCGCCAGGCTAAGTGCACTCACACGCTTTTAGTGCTGACTTGCATCTACCTTTCCCTTCAAGATCCAACTCCAGCTTTAAAACCCTGGAGCTTGAGGTCCCCTACAGAGCCCGGGGAGCACGGGGGGAAGGCAGCAGCCCTTGCTCACTGCTGCAATTCTACGAATACGCTTCAGTCCCCGTCCGGAAGCCCGTGTCTGAGAGCGGCCAGGTCCCTTCAATTCCTTTAATTCCATTCTGGTTCTCCTTTGCTGGAGATGAACAATTGCCCAACAGGTACGGAATCAGTGACACCAGCTTCCCTCAGAGGGTCACCTGACGGTCCCATTTTGGTCAGGATTGATCAGAGTTCAGATAACAAAGCAGTAGTGAAAAGTATTTGTGTCCCATTACTGATCCCCCAAAGCCATTCAAGGATCCTTTAGACACAAAGGATCTATTAAGGCTTATTCTCAGAGATCACAGTAAAGTATTGCACGCCATTTGTCTGCTTAAGTAGTTAAAAACTGAAATCTCGTCTCCCAGAGATTAGCAATATTGTTATTATTTAAAAATACTAAAACCAAATATGGAGGTAACTTCTCCATGTGAATCTACTGGAATATGTGACAGTTAAGAGCTAGGGACAGCAGAGGTCTGTCTGTGCAGGGATTTAGCAACAGCATTTTTTTAAACAACTGGACAGCGCAAATTCCAAATCATTATTTACGCCCTTTGTCAAAGCTCGAGCGATCGTAAATTCAGACTGCCCGCGAAACGCGCTGTGTGATTTCGCCGGCACAGCAGAGCATCAAAACTGATTGCAAGACAGCCTCTCCACCGTCAGTTTTAAACGGCTGGCCTTTGGTCAGGGTGCCCAGAAATAAATAAGAAAGGGGACGGCGGTGAGACCACCCGGCAGAAGAGCCCAGTGTGACGGCTGGCACGGAAGAGTCCGGTCGGCCGGGACCGTCCGCCAGCCCCGGGGATTGTCCAGCTTAGGGCAGCAGCTCCGTGACGCGGGCGGTCTCATCTGGTACTTCCCTACTGAGCTCGCAAAGGCAGGCCAGTCGCCTCGCAGAGCCACGTTGATTTAGTCCAAACCTGGAGGATGGACAAAACGAGCCTCCCAGAGTCGTGATCAGTGTCCCAAGCCGCCAGGTCGGCACAGCAGTCCTTCCGGAGGCCAGCAGAAGTCACTCAGCCAGCGTTCGCGGGCGCCGCTCGTGCAGAAGCAATCTGATCTCCCTCACTATCAGTGGCGAAATGAACAGGATCGTTGAGCTCGTCTGGGAAAAGAAGCATAACCGGGACAATTAGCACAGAGCAACCACCGCTGCAGCCACCTCGCGCTCCAGTGGGCCCCCCAGAAAGACACACGCCAGCAGGAGCGATGGCAAAGCGACACGGTGAACGGAAGGACGGAGCTTGCAGCAAAGCTCATCCCACTGCAGCCGCCAAGATCATCGTTTCGAAAGGAGAGGAGCTCTCCGCCTCCACAACGCCCGTCCTCCCGGCCGCCTCTGCCGGTTACCAAAGTGGCTTTTTCCCTTGTCGGCACGGGTGCAAAGACAATTCCTGGCACTTCCAGAAGGGAAGAACGAGTGAATTGTACGGCATTCACCACTGCGGCGACGCCAAGGAGATCAGGGCTTGAACGGCCTTCTTCCCCAGTAGTACAGCAAGGCAATGGCATTTTCATTTTAGTTTTAAGATCCTCATCGCTCCTGCCGCTAATCTTCACGGGCTAACAAACAAGCAGCTTCACTTCAGCTCCCTGAAAATATTAGGACCCGCGTATCATGGAGATGAAGGAGGCAAAAGCCTGGCTTGGGCGTCAATCAGGGGCTATGAGCTTTGGGAAACGCACGCGGGTATTTTGGGGCAAGTGTTTTTGTGTCTCTGCCACATTCTCAGTTCCTGTTGGGCAACGTGACTTTAAAGGATCCAAAAGGAACCCGGTTGATTTAGACGGCCTAAGGCAAAGGCACACCACAGAGCACTCTGAAAACGGGAAAATGGCATCAGAGCTCGCAGCTGCTGCAGAAATAAGTCACCATTTTCAGGTTCTCACAAAAACTTTCTATTGCAAATTGAACTTCGACAAAGAATTTTAGAGAAGGTGATTTCTTACCATTAGAATAAAGAAATAGAAAACCCACATCCATCCCAGGTTCTCCTGGATCAAAGACACTAGATACTAAATAGAAAGGGGAAAAAAAAAATTATTCAGGCTGGGAAGATAAGCATGACTTTCAGGCATTACTCTTTCATTTTCGGGAATTTGTGGGCTGTTAACGCTCCACACAGAGCTGATCACAAAACCTTCCAGCTGATCTTTTCCCGTCAGAAGAGATGACTCAGGACAGCAGCCCTTCTGTACAAAACTCACAGTCCCAGCAAAGCAGAGTTACCATCCTGAAGCTTTACAGTAACTCACAGCAGCGGTGAGACAGAACTGAGCTACAGTTTCAAAGAGTGACAAATTGACTCCGCTGAAAACCAGGTTTTTGCACAGAATGCTGGGACAGAAGTACATGTAAGTACTCTCAGAAGAACTAAAAGCTCTAGAATGGCTTATAAATTACACTGGACACATTCTCAAGAGCTGTGCGGCCACTAACTACTTAACCCTCCATCGTAGGCGAGACACTTGAGACTACAGTCTGTCCTGAGCTGCATCCGAGTTCAACAGGGCTGCACAGGCCACAAAACGCATTCCCTATTAACAGATTTATACTCAGAAGCTGCACAAGGGCCTCCCCTCTTCACTATCGGGTATATCAGCATCAAACAGGATTTACATTTCTAACGTGTTCGTTGCGCGTTTGCTGGTATTCCCACCCCCCCCCACCCCCCGAATGACACCGTGGTTGTCTCTGTTGGAATCAAGGCACTGTTAGAATGGGAGGCAGGTGGAATTTTTTCTGAACTAAAGACCCAAGTTTTATGACGACGTAAATCTGAATAGCATGCGTGGGGGAAGACAGAAACACTGTAGACAATGCAAAAAGAACACTGAGTGTAGCAGCGTGCTTTAAGACGTCCACAGAGCAATTTTCCGTGTTTAATTGAGCTAAGTGGCATCTTTCCTACAGAAGAGACCGAATGATTGTTATTTATCCAGCAATCAATGGCAAGTATAAACCCAAATCCCTTTCCAGAAAAGAAACTTGTATGCCTTGTCCGAGTCCTTGGTATTTTACCAGCGCTAGAGGATGCCTGGAATAGAACTGCCTCCAATCTTTCTACTAAATCCTCCCCTCCCCAAAGCACCACTCTGTTCTTCCATATAGTCAGCACTTGTGTTTGAGAAGAACGAACGTCCCCAGTGGGCACACTGTCAGCTTCCTTTTCTGCAACAGTCATGTCTTCAGACCTCTGGCAGCATACCGTAAGGACTACTGAAGCAAGTGGTGCTGGATTTACAAGGTGTAAGAGACAGCCACAGATAAAAAGGGGAACCACAAATAGGAGCAAATCTTAAATTACCTTATAAACACTCGACCATTCATAATAGATACTCTAATTTTACTCAGTTATACAGGTAAACTTTTCTGTAAGCTAAGGTTTTGTCGTCACCTTTGAACAAAAAAATCCTAAACAAACTTAAAAATATTTTATTTTCACTCTTTGTGAAGCTGACCTTTGCTTGCCTTTTGGAGTTCAGGATATGGAAGTCTCTGAAATTTGTCTGAATTACAGAAGCGCCATAACATTAACACTATGAATACTTGGTTTAATTCTTAATTAAATTGCTTCCACTGGAAGCCTAACGCACACAGGTTCCCTTGGTTGCTTCGTAAATAAATAAATAATTTAAAAACCAAGCACCACCCTCTCCTCCTCTCTCTTTCCAGGAAATTTTGGATTGAGGAATGAGCTAACGTCTCTAATCACGACAGACTGCCTGCCTCCTCCCCCAGACCTCTGTTTTACTTTGGTAGCCTCACCTGGCCCACTGCAGCACCAATACTGCCAGTCCCGTCCACAATTCCCGTGACTGTTGCCAGAGCCTCACTGCTGCCTCTCACCAGATCCTGGCGCCCCAGGTCAGCAGAAATTGCAGAACTGATCATGTTAGAAGGGCCTCCGATGAAAAATCCTGGAAGTGCCAAGAAAACAGCCTTGGTGCAAAGCAAGCATGGGGATAGATTCTCAACAGACTATCTTCAAAAACACAGATTTTTTTTTTTTTTTACCATGCAAAGCTCAGGAAAAGGATTATGTCTAGGGCCAGTGATCACACAGATTAATTGTAGGTAGAATTGCACCCTCCCAGCTGAAGCACGTGGTCATGGCACACCCTGTGCACCTGCAGTACACACACAGAAACTGCCAACAAACACATTCTCATCCAACAGCAAACCCGATGCCATGAGCTGTGGCGTACTCTACAAGAAGAGTCAGGACACACCAAACTGCTTATGGAAAGCTACTCCTGAAGAGCATGCATACACAAACCCTCGACACAAAGCACATTTAGGCACATTTTTACTTTGGAGTAGTATAACCCCACACTACTGCCTCAGTCTCCAGGGACTGCTGAAGGGGATGGATGGGGGAAAAAAAAAAAATGCAACGGGACAGAGGGTTGTGAAGTAGAAGTGTTTGGAAAGAAAGGCTCTATTCATGCAGGCTAATCTTAATTCCATAACACAGCACAGTATGTCTGGTAGCACACAAAGCTTGTGACCTCTCCCAGTACACAGGGCATTTTGGGTGCTGACAAACATCCTCAAATTTAAGCTGCAGCTCATGACTTTGCCATGTATACTCTTACTCAGATACCAGAGCACTGCCGGGTGTTTTGGCAAAAATCCATCCTCATCACAGTGAGCCAGGGCAGACCCCTTTACTCCCAAGTCATTATTCTTTACAGTCTATATTCTATACCGCCTCTATAACTGTAAGACAGTTCTCCTACAGGTGTATTCCAAAAGTAACAGAAATTAGGCCCCAGCTTTTATTCTTTCTGCAAAACCAGCAGAGATGGCAGCACACACAAATGCATTACCACCACACGAGGCTGGTGTTACTGATTTTTCTGCAGTGCATATGTATGTCTACTGGCATAACAGTGGTACTTGATAAAATACCTGTAATTGCCATGATCACAGCATTGATAGGTTTGCTGTTTGGAGAACCTGCAAGAGAAAAACCAGATGAGGGTGTGAACAAATGAACTTGAGAAAGCCACTGATTTAGGATCAGAAAGAAGCATGCAAACATCCAGTCTGAACTGCCTGTTCTATTAGCTGTGTAGTGACAACAATAACTTCTGACTAGAGACTTGTATGGAGATTAGACCTACCGCAAAAGCATTTAGAGACTAAAGACCCAGAAGTTTCCTGACAGCACTTTACAGCAGAAAAGTCACCTTTGCCATTAAAATTTTGTGCCCTATTTTGATCTCAGACTTGCCTGGCTCTGAGTGCCACCCCTTGTTATGCCTCTTTCTATGATGCAGAGCTTGCATTGACCTTCATTCAAAGTCCATTTGAATAGGAAGAGAATCCTCCCTCCGTCTCTCTGGGGAAGTTTGATTGGAGTTTTGATATTGTACTCAATCTCTCCCACCATAAACTATCCAGCATTTGAATCACCCCTCTACTCATCCTAAATTTTCCAAATTTTTTTTTTTTTTTTTTTTTTTTTTTAAACTACAGAGATTCTATCTGGAGGTAGTAATCCAGCAACTGCCCCAACAAAGTAAAACACGCAGAACCCCATATCCTCACTCCTCCTCACAAAGCCATGCTTGGGTACCTACAGGTTCTGCTTGCCTTTCTAGTAGCAGCATCATACTGCCTACATGCAGCTGGTTTCCCGCTACAGTCCCTTAGTGCTTTTCAGACACTGTGTTCCCCAATACCTCACTTCCAGGCATCACCCAAATTCCTTACTGCTGCAACTTAGGGCCCGCACACGGTCAAGTTACCACACGTAAGGCAAGCTGCAGCTCTCTTCACATATTCTCAGGGCATTACTACTCTTAGGTGCAACACACTACAAGCATGAGAAGGTTTCCTGGTCTGGCTAATGGAAATTTAATTAACACAGTGCAGTAACTTTGTATCGTCTGTATGTGGCTTGGCAGAACCCCAAGACACTCGGACCTCTGGGTGTCCTGCTATCTAGAACAAACTTCAAATTTTGTCAGCAATAATTTTATATTTGCTTCCAATTCACTTTTGAGAGTAATGAACTAGCACAAGAGCCTACTGAACTCCACCAAATCCAATCCTTCTTATTACTGATGATATTTCATTGATCTTACTTTGAGACCACCCGAGTAAGCCAGCGCGCTTCTGAAAGGCACACGTTACTGTTCGTGGCCAGCTCTGCCAGTAATTTCTGCCCACGGATCTCTATAAAAGTGCTCTATAAAAGTTGGTCTGTATTGCCACCCCATTTTGGAGGAAGACACGAAGAAGTGAAATGACATCCCCGTGAGTTAAAGCACTCTGGTACCACAGGACACCACTTCTGAAGACATAAAACTCTTACCCTGAGATGGGATTTACAGATGCTTCAGCGAAGTGAAATCTGCCTGTCTTCTACTCAGTTTTCCTGACAGAATTCTTTCAAGAACCAATCACCACGAACTACATCTACTACAAAAGAGGCAGAAACTCTTCAACTTCACCACTTACAGAAGCGTAAATGGTGAAGTCTAAGAGCTTCTGCCCCTTTGTAGTATATATACACTCCAGCACAGATCTGTCCCCAGATTCTCTTTCCTCTTACTAAGGGAACGCACCCGAGATTTCCTGCTCTGCCAGTTGTGGTGCTGATACAATGACAATGCCAAAAATCCCACCGACACTGGAGAAGGATCAGTACCATTACTCACCAATACAGGGAAATCCAACCACTCAGCTAATTCTTTTCCACCTCATTAACCAGAGAAGAGATTGCTTTCTGTGCAGTGCCACACTTCAGGCGAAACAGAGCAAAAGGCACCACCCTGATCCAGAAGTAGTTTCAAGACCAGGAAATGTAATTAGAACAGGCTGTTCTCTGGCTCTCTCTAAGAAACACCTAATGAGCCTCTTATCACTGCGCAGCAAAAGCATACTCACGGCTGTATCCAAAAAGAGAGCCTACAGCACAGAGCAGGCTAACTGCTAGCACTGGGGCTCTCTTCTGTAGCACATCAGAAATCAAGCCCTGGATAGTCCCACCTGCAAAAAAATAAACCATCATCAGGCTCAGGATGCTAACACCTTGAAGAAAACTCATTTCGCTGAGCGCAGTGGCCTCCTGCCTTCTCATTCAACATGCATTCTCGCTAAAATCCTGAAAACTAAGTCTTCTGCCCTTACTGCCCGAGACACAGAGACAACAGTAAACTTCAGCGGCTCAGATAGAGCAGGGAAAACTACTCATACTGCTTTCCCAGGAATTTATTACTACATTTTTCTTTTCCTGGCACACAACTAGCCAATGCTCCTGCTTTCCTTTTCCTTCCCATTACAGCTCTAGGATCACCACAACTCTGGCCCTCAGCAAGCTGAGCATTGTGGCTGGTTCCTCTGATACAAAGTAGAGGAAAAAGCAGTTCTTTTTCATAGGGAAAGCATTAGCACACAGGGGCCTCACACTCCCTGCTGTCTCACCTCCTTAGGGTAGGTGCAACTAATTGCAACAGTTGCTGATAGCTGATAAAAATCACCTTAGGTATCACCGCTACCTCTGTAGGAATTGCTCTGCTGGTAAAAACTAGAATGTTGAGAAAGCCCAACACAGAAAAGGCCACAGAGGCAAAAAACCTGACCCTGAACAGACCAGAGCAGGATGTCTATTCTAGGAAAGCTAACTGAACAAGGTAACAAAGCAAGAAACTGAGAACAGGAGAGTGGAACTGTAAATACATATATAATATGTTCTTTATTCTGGAGGTACAGGGTCAGATTTTGCAGCCAGCAGAAACAAGTGCAATTACATTTTACTTCTGAGCATAACACAGTTGTGCCTGCTCTGTCGAGATCTGCGCCAAATCTGTTCTTAAAAATACAAGACAGAAGGGACAGTATAGAGCCCAGTAAGTCTGAATCTAAACTCTCCCCCAAGGCTACCTGTCAGAAAGGAAGTAGCAAGCAGCGGGGACACCATATTGTACATGGCACTTTTCAAGAAGTCCTAGTGAGTAGAGAAAAATGCCTGCTGGGGGTAATGTCCAAGAATAGATAGTGCCCTTTAAATGACATGTAAAGTCTTTAGGGGGCTCACATAATCTGTGTTTTAGGATTAAAAAAAAAAAAAAACAAAAAAACAGAAAACAAAACCAAACCAAAACAAACCACAATCAAGCAGCCACGTACATAACTAGACTTTTCATATATTCAGTAAAGAGCTAGATCCCACTGAACAGGAGTTCTCTGAGCTGCATTTGCTGTCTTTCATTTTCAAACACCAGCATGGCGACTGCAGGAAGATGTTGTGCACTTGCACACTCACCTATGATTCCTCCCACATCATACCAGATCGAGAGCTGGTCAGCTTCTGCTTCTTTCCATCCAAAGTTGTTGCTGAGGTAGAAGGGCAGCCAGAAGAAGAATGAGTAATTCACCAGTTTCAAGCAGGCATAGGCCAAAGAGTACTGGAACAAAGAGAGGGCCAGCAAGCAGTTAGCCCTTGAGAAATGCAAACAGCATTTCTGCTTCTTCCCAGAAAGCTCTGTATCCAGCTAGAGCTTTCAGGGGGAAGGGCTTCTGCATTTCCCATAAGTAGGCAGCATTAGGAAAGCTTACTGCTGAACGTCAAAGGGAACCCAGGAATACCAAAATCACTGTCAAGGTTATTTTCTTTTCACTGAATGCAGTGGGTTAAAAAACTTTCAGTGTAATCTTGAGATGAAATGACACTAGGCTTCAAAAAAATGAAGGAAATTTAATTCACCTTCTGAAGAGAAAGGAGACAACCGCGTGACATGAAACAAGCTTGAGATATAGTCATCTGTGCACCATGCTAGGAAAAGTTAGGTGAAGTAGTTCCTCTGTGCTATCTACCTTTTGCTGCTCAGAAGGCTCATCTACTTACAGCACCAGAAGGGAAACCTTCATTCATAATCCCGAGGCAGGTATTCCAGGACAAGATGAAAGGTTTGGCCAAAGCTAAGCACATGCAAGCCAAACCCAACAGCGGAGAGAACCTCCTGCTTTTGGCTGCTGGGCTCAAGTTCTCTTCAGCTAGCAGGAGATCTCCTTCTTTAGAGCTTTCACGTGTACAATGAAGATATGCTCTCTGGGATTGCTGGCCCAGCTCGCAGAGGGACGAGGCACACTATTTCAGTAAGGCCTCCTGATAAACAGACAGGGCAGTTCAAGGAACCCGTGTATGAAGAGGGAAACAAGGATGAAGGCAGAAACCCCCACCTGTTAAAATCACAGCTTTTGAGACTGTATGTGTATGTACACACTTGTCTTTGAATTTCAAAAAGCAGGTATTTTTAGATATTAAACTCCACAAACTTCTGAATGTATATTATTTTAACAGATACATCCTTCTCAGCTGTGTTATTAATGCTTTTTCACTCTTAGAGGACACAAACTACTCTCCACCATACATGTAAGACACGGAGACTGATAGAGTTCTCCTGCCTCCGAGTGTGACAAGTGCACTGTACGAAGCAGTATTTACTACGGCATGCTTAGAAACTGTCTATCAGATTGTCTGAGTGATTAAACACTGAATTTCTAGAGGCTCAAGGGAAAGCTGTCTGTACTAAAACTCTTCCACCATATCACTCAGCGGGAGAAAAGAGGAACTACAGAAGGAAATATGTCAAATAAAGTCTTTGGTGAATCTTGACAAGGCTTGAGAGGTTCTCTCGGTATTTGGTCTGTCACAGGCTGGGCACTGATCTCACATCAGATAAAACTCACAGACTCAGAGGTGTTCGTGTTGCTGGGTTAATGCACAGAACGTGTCCTCATACCTCAGGTGCAGAAACAGAAACATCAGTCGTACAGGACTTCCTTATGTTCTGGCCAGTACAAAAAAAGCCACACATCAACTAAGGCATCCTCCTAGAAGAGATTTTGCCTAAAGGTTCTTTATACATCAGCCCACTCTTAGCACCAGCAAAACTGAGTCATAGTTTATATGGCATTTAGCCATATCGGGAAAGAACTCAAGATGGGTTTGCTTTCTTTTGCCATCCCTCAACCGAGGTCTTAACAGAAGGGCACACAGCCCACTGACACAGAAAGTTAACGTTGTTTTTTTAATGGCAGGTTAACTTTTCAGCTGAACCAAATCCAAGAATTGGGCAATACTACTGATGCAGAAATACAAGTTCTCACACAGGGGACAGGATGAGAGTATGGGGAAAGGGCATCACCAAGCCTCGTTTCCAGTTTATAAAAAACCACCTACTTTGCCTGCCATGTTATCAAGCTGATTAAGGCTTTTCAGGCCAGCCTTCTGCTTTAAGGCCACTAAAAAAAAAAAAAAAAACCTCACTCCAGTATCAGTGCCAGGGTTCTGTGTGATGTTCAGCTAGCAGTGAGAATCCCATTCTTCAGGGCAGCGTAGCTACCTTACCAAGAAAGCATCCTACAGTCACCTTTGCTCACGGTCTCCCTTCTAAATTCAGCAGCAAAAGGGGCAGGATCTCTGCTGCCCTTACTTGGCTCATTAGGTGCTCGAAGTGAAGCAGGAGCCCGATGGGGAGAGCACCCGGGCAGTATTACAATCCACACGCACAAGGATAACAGTCCCAACCCCAGGGTTTTAACAGCCTACGGCGGCAGATGTCAACAACTACAACACATGGTCAACACATTAACAGTATCAACAAATGCTGACAAAACAAAACGTCAGCTTTATGTTTAACAACGTTAAGTCAGACCTCATCTGTGTCCTCACCAGTACCACACCCGGAAGGCAACAAGCTTGGAAAAAGCCAATGGCCTTTGGCTGGTTGTCAGTGTCAGTTGCTTGAATAGAGTAATTCCGGTCATCATCATCTGCATCATCGTTGCCCATTAAAGGTCTGTTGGCATCTTCCTCCCCACTGCTGTCTTCATCTGCTCCAAGCTCAGGGAGGCCTAAATTTCATAAGGGATATGCAACAGGAAAAACGGACCACAGCCTGCTCACCCTCTCCCCACTCTAAAGCTATGCTCGCTTCTTTTAAGCAATTCTCTCTTCTAGCAATTCCCTTGCTCTCCCATACCTCCATCCTCCTTTGGCTTAGAAACTCTTCTAGATGGTGTTCTGCAGTGTCGCCAGTTTCTACCCTTTGTCTTCTAAGCGCTCTTGAAAGTATTCTGTCTGATCCTGGCGTCGGCTCTGTCTGTTCTGAGTGTCTGGCCATTCGTTGGAAGACACAACAAATTAGTGCATTTCCCCCCTTATTTAGTGGTTGGGATCCTCGGGCCTGGCTCCTGGGTACCACTTCCCTTGAGCGCGGAGGCTGAGCGGAGCAGCAGCTACTCAGAGAGCTGCTGCCTGTTAACGCCTCGGCTGGAACGGAAACCCTAGGAACTGCACTGCGCTTTCCGGGCTGCTGAGTGCCCTTATGAGTGCTCTTTATGGTGGCTTTAGGGCTACCAACTTTACAGCCTTTGCAGGCACCTGGGAAACCTCCTCCGTGGCCCTGTCAAAGCTAAAAAGTTCTTTTGTTTTCCTGTTACGCTTTGGCTTGCCTACCGTCTGCTCAGAGAAGGACCATATCCAACCTGAGAGCTATTTAACTGGCTGCAGGACACCTGCAGATGAAAAGCACTTTCCCTTCCCACTGCGCAGTTAAAGCTTGCCACAGTTTTCTCCTATGATAGCCAGTTATCAGTTTGCCTGCTGTTTCTTTAAAAAAAAAAAAGTTGATTTTCAGGTGAAGAAAAGCTGGTAATTAGGCACATCCTAATGGAATGTTAGAGCCGGGCTGTTTTATTTTGCTTTTTAAAATATCCAGACCCTGTACCTACAATGCACGGTGGCATTTAGTGTTGTCTTCCTGACTAAAGCATTTGCTCCCTTAAATACCATTTTATGAGAGCCCCGAGGGTAAATGCTGTCAGAACGAGCAGTACTTTTAGCACTACATGGAAAGCTGCAGATCTGCCTTCCACAAAGGGACTGAAATGCTACAGCCCTCTTCTACTTACCCACTTCCTTCGGTGACGTCAGGAGCCCAAAGAAGACAATGACGCCTCCAGCAAACTGTACTGAGGCAGTCACCAAGAAAGCATACTGAAGATAAAGAAATAAAAGATTATTTTTTAAAAACACTTTCAATCACATAGGCTTCCCTGACTAATGAGGGTTTCTTTACATTCCAACTTTGCCAGAGAGTAAACACAGCTACAACCACCTGGACTACATCCATAAAACTTGGAAACAAGTGATCTCTGCATCTCCTGAACAGACTTGGTTCTATCTAGGCTGAAAGACCACATTGAACCAGCTGGTTTAGTGTCCTGAGGTGACAGCAGTGAGGAAGGAGCTCGCCCGACACAACCACAGATACAGCTATATTGGAAGGGACTGCTCAAAGAAGGGTCAAACACTGAAGTCAGACCAGGTTGCTCAGGGCTTTGTTCAATCAGGTCTTGCAGTCCTCCAAAGACGGATCCTCCAGGCTTTGGCTCCTTGTCCCGGTGCTTAAGTAACTTCCTAGTGAAACAGTTTTCCAAACATTCAGTTGGAACCATCCCTGCTTCGCTTTATAGCCACTAATTTTTAGCTCTTCCACTGTGCAACCCAGGAAAGAGTCTGGCTCTGATTTCTCAGCCACCTTCTCACAGTCTTTGGAATGCTGCTGTTTGGTACGCCAAGCCTCCTCACCTCCAGAGTGGCGAGGTCAGCTCTGCTAGCCTGTCCTCAGAGGTCAGGCGCTGCAAGACGCGCCGGGTCACTGACATTCCCTGCGGTCAGCTGCCTGCCTGCCGCACGGCAGCAACGTAGCGTGTGCCCGGCCTCTCCCCAGCTGCAGAAGCTGTGCCCCCGTGCCTGCCAGAACCTCACCCCTCTTCGGCAGCGGTGACTCCAGCTGAGGGAGAACGTGTGATGGACGACTCCGGAGAGCGCTTTCGCCCACCACATCAGAAGGGCGTACTATGACACCAGGGCTCTTCAGTAGCATCAGTCCCGTTTACAGAGAAGTCTCCGGCTCATTTCTCCCAATTTGGAAGGGTCAGGAAAGGGATACCCTTTCTATTCTGCTTATTGCTTACTACCAGAGAGTTCAGGAAGGTGAAACTGGACACGCCGAGCCTGTTATCTCAGAGACAGGACCCGAAACTAGTCTCTCATAACCCAATCAGATACGCAGTCCTAACTAGAAGCCAGACCTACCTCATAGCCGTATTTGAGAACACAGGAGGCAAGGAACGCCCCAAGGATATTTCCCACAGATGCACAGGCACTCCAGAGTCCAAACACAAAACCTCTCCTGCAGGAGGAGAAGAAAATTTGAAAAAGGCAACGCGGGAAGTGGTGACATTAGGACCAAGACAAAGATATAACGTTCGAGTGAACTTTAACTTATGAATAAAGTTACAGTATTCTCCCAGTCCACTTCAAAGAAATTCAAAGCATAACTTAGGGGTACCAAAAATATACCAAGGAGTGCTCTATCCTAAAACACCTGTGTTACAGCAGCGGTGAGCTGGCAACAACAGGGTTAAGAGCTACAGCTAGAGCTCATATGCAATACCCCAAAGTGACAGAGTCAAACCTACAATGAGTCAGCTTCCATTCCATCTTTTCAGTGGTAAGTAGTCAGAAACAGGTTTTCCAGTGGCATGAAGATTCAAATTCAGCCACTCTGCACTAGGGGACTTTGGAAATTTAAACCTGTGCCTTTAACACACACAGTTGTGTTCACATCAAACAGTTCTGTGGCTCCGGGGAAAAGGGAAAAAAAAAAAAAAATGAGGAGAGATAACAGTAACAAGGCAGGCATATTTCATCCCACGTAACTTTAATTCTGACCTAATAGTTGGGCCTTTTTGGTTTGACACTTTCAGCTCAATCTGCAACTTGGCAGGTCAGATAAGTGAGTCACTGAAGAAAACTCAACTTACCCAGCTTTTCCAAACCAATTGCCCATAACAGCAACCACACAGGGCCAACCAGTGGACTGCAGCAAGCCATTCACAACCCAGAGACAGCAGTAGAACCACTTGTTGTAGAAATGCAACCATTCTGTGAGTGTGCCGAAGAAGAATACCTAGAGAGGAGGAGGAAAAAACAAAACAAAACAAAAGGCAAAACCGTGAGGCTACTGCTGAAAGCCAGGCAGAAAGGGGGTCCTAAACCAGAAATAATATTTCAGGGAGAATGTCCCCCGCAGGGGCCAGGCCAGAGGCAAGCCTGGCATTGTTTAAGAAACAGCTCAGAGCTAATAGCACCCTCTGCTGAGCCACCACAGCACGGACTCCAGAGCCCAAACAACTCCAGAGACAAATGTGCTGTCATGGCACTTCCACTCGAAAAGACTTTTATCTTTGTAAACAGCACAGTTGTAACAGGAGAGGAGAAGAAAGAGACAAAGACTTTCAAGTAACAACACTAAAAATACAGTAGTGCCTTGATCTGCTATTGTACTGACATCCCAATCCAGGAGGCTCTGTGCAAGCACAGAACCCTCACTAGTCATTTCTTTTAGCAAAAGTTAACAGAAATACTACAGCCAGGTCTCAAATTACTAAGAGCCCCAACCCAAACCAGCCAAAACAAACACATTCGGTGGCACCCTGTGCTTGGTGCATGTTTGTGGTCATGTGTTTGCAGAATGCAATAGGCCATAGTGGGGTTTGTAACCATCGGGGAAATCAAAAGCACTCCACGCATTTTACCACTACTTTAATAACCAGAAAACCCCAGTGAGATAAAACTGATTCACACTCATCTGCAGTGGCTTGAACCTGAAGAGCCCTTTTGTTTTAAGCCAACGTTCTTTTTTGACACATGCCCTCCCAGCAATTACAAAATAAGCAAATGAATGCTTTGCATTGTTAGCACGTCCTTTAAAGAAGAGAGCAAAGCTTGTGACTGGGAGCAAGAGCCTTGATGACAACATACGTGGGCTGGGAGAACAGTTATAATACAAAACAGTCCCAAAGAGCAGAAATACACCAATCTTGAACAAAAGCTGTTCATCAAGTCTCTAGACAGTGCCTCAAACTTAGGCATTTCCTTCTGACACAGTATCCATTAATAGTTATTTCAGGAAGAGGCGAGTCATCTAGCGGAGCTCTTTGCTTCAGACAAGGCAGTAAGTGCATCCAGGACAAAGTTTTACGCGCAGCCTTTGAGACCACTGAGGTACATCTACAGCTCACGGGCAGATTCACACAGAAACTGAGTCTCTTCTCCCCTAAGGTAAAACCCTATCTGGAAACCTTAAGAGAGATTCCTAAATCACACTAGTATGTTTCGACTTACCACCAGAGCAGAGGAACACATGCCAAAAGACAAAACCCAGCGTAAATTCAGGCGATCCCCAACTATGCCACTGACAAAGAGACCCTAAGAACAAAACACAGCATTAAATGAAGCCACAAGATTTGCATCAGTTATCTGCAAGAATTAAAATGATGTAGAAGGGTCAAGCTGATCCAAACGTTGTTGTTAGAGCAATTTACAGTTTAATTCTAACCACTTCTGTCACCAAAAAAACTCTGCTCATGCTTGTTCGTTAAATTCCTTATTTTTAACAAATTCAGCTGAGAACTCTTGGAGAGATGGAAATAGCCCTCCCACCCACTGGTGATAGGGGTGTAAAAAATTCTGAAGCAATAGTATTTCTCTTGCATTTATTAACAAGCGTCTTCACAGGGGTGGCAGGCGTGGGCAGAACTCACAGAAATTGAAGGAAAAAAATCTGCTCCTGAACTAAGCTTTGTAACTGTGTTAGTGCTAGGCAAGTCCAAGAAGACAATCCTGTTCATCCCCTCCAAACGTGGGTGTGATCATCCCAACAAGAGTCAAACAAAGCTTAGCAGTTTTGGGTTAGAGTTTTACTCACCACAGCATAAGAAAACAAAAAGATAGTGTCCAGTGTCCCCAAGAAGAGCGTGGCTTCTTCTGCATTTGGAAATAAATGACTGCTGTTCCAGAGCTATAGAGAGAAAATTTTAACAGGTAAACAGGGAGGAGCACAGCTCACTGTACTCTTTTTCAATGGAAACCCCAACTCCAAAGCAGAAGAGCATCTGGCCCTGACACCCTCTCATTCCTCCGACACTTTAATTATCAAATCAAGAACAACTCTGACATTATCTACCGCAGAAAGCGTCCACTGCCACTTCGCTTCACTTCACTAAAAGGGCAAGCTAGCAAGCCAGCAGTGAGAAACGCTCGTTCCACCTGGATCGAGACAAATGACTGTCAAAACAAACCCTACTTCTAACAAGCATGCAACTGTTAGACAGCTTCTTACACAGAAACGCTGATGAGCATCTTAATGAATAACACAATAAAGGCATATTCTGTTTTATGTGCAGTGTCTCTTCTGTACTTATCTTGCTGTCTTCACTAAATGAATAATTCCCTTAAAGTATCTGTGACAGCAAACGTAATAAGAAATGACAGGCCACAAATGGAAAAGAAAGAACACAAAAGGAACAAGGGGAAGAAACAGACTGGTTAGAAACTATTTGCAGTGAACTCAAGTCACTAGATATTTTTTGTGCTTACCCTGAGTTTCATTTTACCTTCAGTATGATCAAAAAAAGGGAAAAAGACTCAGCTGTCCCCAAACTAAGATTAGTGGCAACAGGTGAAAACAGCAAGCTTATATCATGACTTGAAGAACAAATTAAGTTAATGAGGAAAAAGTTTTCCTCCCTCCCCACCATGCCCCCAGTAGAAAAAACAAAACAAAACAAATAAATCAAATTGAAACCTGATCTAAGGATGCGCTTAACTCAAATATCAGTTTTAGTTTGATTCAACATCTCCAGGAGAGCATCCTGTACAGACAACACTAACTACACATCCACTTAGTTTAAAAGATGTAACATTGGCAAGGCCTATCAATGCAGCTTCTGCTGAAGTCTTTTGTGTCCAAGAAAACTAATAAATCTCTTGAAAAATACTTTTTGGCCACTTGAGGCCACCAATACTTACTTACACCAGTAGCTTTCAACTTTTAACCAGAGATTCCCTGGAGGTTCACAAGCTATTAAGAGTCTTAAAAAGATAAGAGAATCAAATCTTTTTGTCACTAGGCTTAAATTAATTAAACAACCTCCGCAGAACTCACAAATCTTTAAAGGCTGAAAAGTGTAGACCCAAGTTGTCCTTCTAATAAAATCTTACTAGGGCCTACTCACAAAACAATTGCAAAACATTTTGTTATATTTTAAGAAAATATTTTTAAGTATAAAGAACAGCTGTAGTTAAAAAGATATCCCAAAGTTCAAAACTGATAGCACATAACTGACTTGTCTGTTCATGCCCTTAACTTGTTCTACCAATTTCTCAAAACACACTTTACAGTTAAGTCCTGTAACCTAAACTGATACCAAAAGGACCATTTTTCTTAACCAGGCACATACATCTCAGCACCCAGCAAACCCTAAATCATCTAAATAAAGAAAAGATCAAAACAGTTTCCAAAATATACTAGTAGTTTGAATGTCATTTAAGGAACTAAATATGAACACCTTGTAGTTCATTTTAGCATCCCTGAGATGCTCGCCCCTTTTTTGTCGTACTGTAAAATCCTGAACGCATTACAGGCCCAACTGACTGTTTTCACTTATCACGAGAAATCAGCATTTATCACCCCTGAGTCAAACGTTCAAATAAGTGATGATTTCTAATGCAGACAATACCCAAGCAAATGTCTTGAACTCCCTGCCCTAACAGATCTCATGACCTGCGACCAAACTGTTGACGTAAGATTTCTTCTGCTTCTCAAAATCATCAGGACAAGCCACTGCAAAAAACAAGCATGCCCCTCAAAGTACTATGGGTAGGAGACAGGACGTAGCTCTTGTGTTCCCATTTGTGAGATACAAGCAGAACACAACTTCCTTTTCTGCAAGCAAACACTGCCAAAACTCCCACCACGTTCACTGAAGCTAGGATTTTACAGGCAATGGATACAATGTTCAGCATTTCTGAAAACCAGGCCTTTTAGATGCAAGAGAAAATGTCGTCCTTCAGTATCAACTTGGAGTAAGCAACTAGCACTTTCGGGTAGCTTTCTTCTCTCCTGCTTTGGCTATCCTTTTCACACAGTGACAGCAGCATCACCGCCGCGGAGAAAGCCACAGCCAGGGTTTTACAGGTATCTCTGTAACCCCACTAACAGCTCTTGTTATTGCCTCTGACACTTCACAGGTAGGGTCCCTCTTTCCCCCCCCTCCTCCGTGCTGCCAGCTACTACAGACACTCTCCCAGGGTTCCCATTTCCATCGGAACACTGTAAACTTCTTGAGAAGTTTCTCTCTGGGGACCACCAGGAAAGATTTTACCGTCCCCTGATCATTTAGAAAATTACAAATTCAGACACCTGAAGTTCCCACTCTCATTCTGGGAGGTGTCCCTGATAGACACTTCAAGGGGCCTCCTCAGCACCACAAGCTCAGCAGAGGCAACGTTACCCATCCTTCTTCGCACCTGCCCATCCCTTGTGTCCTTACCTCATATGGCCGGAGCTCGGGGGCCGTGCTGTTCAGGCAGGAGGGAGTCCATTGGCTGGAAATGCTGACTTTGACATTACTGAATGTCTTTCTGGAAGCATGGAGCAGGGAATAACTGCCAGAAAACACACAAGGACAGGTTGGCCAAAACTTCTCTGGAGGTCGCGTGGGAAAGGGTGGGACTCAAAATGCAGACACATGCTGCCTAAGCAGGCAGCAAAGCAGAGGACTGGAGCCAGTAGTCAGCAGTAGGAACCCCCAAATGATGGGTAGACACACTGATTTTAGCCGAGAGCTGTGAAATAGGGTCTTGACTGGAAAGGACCTCCTCTTTTATTCTCAAAAGAAGAGGTGACTGTGCAACAACAATTATGTACTTCAGGAAAAAAACAACAACAAGAAAGAGAAAAGAGAAGACGCACTCATCTGGCTAACCACCATTACAAGTGCTCTTCCAGAGACAGATCAGGTATCAGTGGCAGTATTGCTGTGAAGATCAAAGGATATCAGCAAGGCAAAGTTTGTAAAGAGAGGCAATACGGTATTCCAGCTGTTGTAACAGACAAGCTTTCAACAAACAAATCTAGTAGACCTTCAGATCTGAGGCAGCTACCTCGCCGTTCCGGAGGCACGTCCATTCTCTGCAGACAGCACTTTGGGGAAATAAGAGAACCCCCAGGAGCAACAACAGCATGCTCCAGCAGTCGCAAGAGGCATTAGGATTGTCGGGGTTTCCTTCCTTCCACGTTTCAGCTAGTTCCTCCCCATGCTCACCCACATTCACCCTCCTGCACCAGGCTGCTGCTGGCCTGGCAGAGTCAGCCTCATCTTTGGTGCGAGCCCTGTTGGAGGCTGGATTTCCCAGGGGCAGAGCACACTTAGCTCTACCACTGCAGGACTCCCAGACTGGCTGGTACTACTAGCTTTTAAGCTTGTTTTCAAGGCTTACAGCCAAAGGTTAATGCTATTTCCCTACCTTCATTCTCCTCCTTTGGACATGCCCTCACCTCCCCACATTCAGCGAGATGAGCACTCCTCTGCGCAGAGATACACTCAACCTACCTGAAGAAGGTCAGCAGGAACACAACAATGTGATGGTGGGTGCAATGGGACACAAGGCCTCTGTTTGCAGGCTGCCTCCACAAGCTTCCAGGCAAAGCCATCCTCCCAGCAGCCCCACCCCTGCTCCTGCCCTTGGCCACAAAGGCTGGATGGTGCTTAGGTCATTTTTCTTCTCACTTAAACAGAAGAAGGTGAGAATGGAAGAAAAAAACAAAAACAAAAACATATTTCAATTAAAATATGTGTATAAAATACAGCTGTGTTCCCCAAAGAGATGGAATTCAGCAGGAACAACTCTATGTCATTCCTTCCCAAGTTGCCCCACATCACTACCCATCTCATCACCCATATGTTCCTTGACACCTTCTACGTCCAGAAATGTCCTCTACTCCCCTTCACCCTGCACCCCTGTGGTTATCCCTTCAACCCACTTCTTTTTTTGTTCCCCTCCCAGCAGATGCCTCTTCAGTGCCCATCGCCAAATGAGTCCCCCCAGGATCTGCTAACTTCCAGTGTTCTCACGTTAAAGACCACTCAGCACCTTTTACATACACGATGCACTGTAGAGTGGTCACAAATAAACTAACTTTCCACTGCTACCTGGCTGGCTACAGAGTGGTGAATAAAGCAAAAGAGCAGCATTTGGTTACTGGTGGGGAATGGTTTTGGATCTAACTGCCTCTTTAAGATGTTGTGGAAAGAATATACCCAAGAGTGGACTTGCACAGCTGGAAGAAAGAAAGTAACCGTGAGGACTCTGCTGTAATCCAACAGCTAGACTCCCTTTCCATTCATTCTCGAGCCCTACATTATAGCTCCATCTGTCACTACCTCATTAGTACAGCATATGGCAAGTCAGACTTTCCTGCTCCTACCTGTAGGGCATGGGGGACATCTGACTAAACTTCCAGACACCAAATATCACCACTACTGCGGAAAGGCTATGAAAGACACACAGTTTCTTAGCGCTGGCTCACGCCACGCTACTCCACTCCCTCGACAGTGCTGGCGTGGCTGAGGGGCTGTTTCTGCAAACCGAGTCCAGGAAACGACCCCGCTGGGCAGCGAGGTGGTGAATCTCTCTCTGTGCCTCCCTTCTGTTTTCTTGGCAGAGATCTTTTCAGTCAGATTTCCCTGCCGTGGCTCACAGAGCAGCTACACAAAGGCTTGCGTCCGTGCAACTGAGTGGGCAGTGCAGAGAAAGACACGCCGCATAGCGACGTCGCTGCTGAAGGCAGAACTTGAGTCTGTTCACGCCAGTCGGCTTATGACAGCTAAACAAATGAGTTGGCGGGAACTGCGTTTTCAGAAGACATTCAACCACCACACACGTTCTGAATGCCGAGGAGAGGGAAAATAATGCACCACGCCTGTTCCCCAAAGAAGCAGAGCTGAAATAAGATGGAACACAATGCCTTTGTGATCTTTTGTATCCACGGGTGCTTTTTGTAACGATTTGTAAATCTGACAGAAGACTTTACAAGTTCAGCTTCATAACCTCATTTGGAAACATGAGAAGTCATTGCCCAGACTCTCTCTCAATCCAAAGTTCTGCTGCTGAAAGCCCTGCATTTCAGAGACTTTCTGCTCTTCCTTCTAATAACTCCTAAAGGTTTCACCAAGACAACTTCCACTGTAAGAAGTTTTTTCTTTTCCTGTTCTCTTAATGATGATGCATGCCTGACCAGACACCAGATACTACTGGGTGCATTACCCATCATGAAAACCAAGGCCACATTTGACCTCCAAAACAGAGTACGGCATCAAGATCCTCTGAGGAATATGGATCTAGCTATTACACCTTTCAGACACTGGAGTCTCGGTTATCCTACACACTTGAACGCCTCCATTCTCATCCAGGAGAAATGCATCAAGTCGATACAATACCTGAGACCATCTATGTCTATGCAGCCCAGATGCATTTGAGCCACGCTCCCGTTGCTCCTGCTAGCACAGACCACCTAGGTGTGCCAGCACCTTCTCGTAGGGGCATGCTTCTAGACTGCTTGGGTTCACACAGAGACAGAAAAAGCACCCACAGCTGGAGCTGCGGGAAGACAAGCCTAACCCTGGAAGAGGCAACTTCGCAAGTAATCTTCCTGCTACCTCCACTTAAGGTCACAGCCCATTTCTCAACGTCAGTGAATGAAAACTCAGCATCTACACAAGTACCACACGGAGCTACTCCCTTTCAGGCAGCAGTAAGACTGCTCAGGGCTGTCCCCACACAAGCTGCATGAAGGAGAGCGAGGAACCCAAGGCACTCCAATTTCCCAGCACCACGGTCCTTACAAACCTGTCAACCACTGGGTCTGTTGGTCAAACACAAGAGCTCGGTCTCCTTCCCTGCCCCCCCTCCCCTCCCACCAGGCGACAGAACTCTCCCAAGGAAAGCAAAGCAAAGCACTGTCAGTTGTGCAACGCTGTGGTGAAAAGTTCCTTCCTCGGGTAATCAGTTTGCAGCCCAAAGCACGAGATGTACTACTTGCTTCATGGCACCATACGCAAATACAGATCTTATCTGTCCAAGATACCGAGTCTTCTTAAAGCTAAGACCTGGTTTTGACCTTAAAGTCACCTATTTTTTTTATAGCGTTTACTATTGAAATCATCTGTTTCTCAGAGCTTTTCAACCTCAGCCAGCTTCCTAGAAGAGGACCTGGTACAGGATGGCACTTTTCAGTGCGGAGATGACTATTTTGCTTTTTATTTTTTTTTTTCTTTCTTCATGCTGTCCTTTTTATATTCAAAACTGGCATTCTCCCTAGGCTAGAAAAGCATACAACTGAGTTTATCCTTACAAATCAGTCTTCTGAGAATACCGCATTAAATTTGTTGTGGAGGGTGAGCAGAAACTAGGAGGCAGGATAGACCACGGAACTCAGGGCAGTGAGGCACAAGCCTTTAAGGAAGAGGACTGCTCTTAGGGTGTTACTCTGCTTGTTTAGCACTATTTACCTTCAGCAAACCGGTATTCTGAATAAGCTTTTGTTAAGCTTTCCGCGTTCTCCCTTATCCCTTCGCTTAAGGTCAAAATAAACTTTCTTAATACCACCCTGCCGTCCTCCAAAGCCGGCAGGAAAGCCCTGAACTAACATTCCTGGGACTCCCAAAACGCAAAACGAACACACCGATTTAAAAGAAGCAAGTAAGCCAACAAGTAAAACCACGACACGCTCTTTTATGCCACCTTTCCAAACAGACGGAAAGAAAAGAAGCACAAACCCACGAGGGTCCCCCCGGCAGCCCCTCCAAGGGGAGCACCGGGAGCCCCACCCCCCCCCCCCGCCGGGCACCGCTCGGGACCCAAAAGCGCCTCCTCCCCGCACCGGGGTCGATCCGAGCCGGGGGGCTGCCCGGACCTCCCGCCGCTCCCCCAGCCCCAACCGAGGGGCCCGGGGCCGAAGGGCCGGGCCCGTCGCACAGGCCGCGCTCCGCCCGGCTCACCTGAGGCCGGCAGCGGTTCGGCCCCGCCGCTGAAGCGCCGAAGGAGACGATGAGGACGCGGCGGGGCGGGGAGCCGAGCCCGCAGAGGCGGGACAGACACCGGTGCCACCGACAACCGTTCGCCAGCAACCGCCGCCAAATCGCCCCCCCCCCCCCGCCCCCCCTCCGCGTACCGGGCGCGGCGGCCAGCGCGGCCCTCGGGAAAGCAAAGGGAGGCGGCTCTTCCGGCGGGGGAGCCCCGCGGAGCACGCCGGGAGTTGTAGTCCGCTCGCTGCCGCCAGCCAGGGCCCTCCGGCACGGCCCCGGGCCTCCTGCTCGCCTCCCCCCCCATACACCCACACCTTGCAGCGCCGGGGGAGTGAGCGGCGCCGGCCCCGCTCCTCCAGCGGAGCCCGGCGAGTGGAGGAGGAGGAGGAGGAGAAGGAGGAAGACTACATTTCCCGCCGGCCCCGGGAGGGCCGGGGCGGGTACAAAGCGGGCGCTACCTGGGCCGGCAGGTGAGCGCCAACAGGTGAGAGGGGGCGGCTGGCTGGGACCGGGGCTCCATCCCCGGGCCTGCGGCTGGGCGGGCGGCAGCGGCTCTTCCTCCTCTTCCTCCTCCTTCTTTTCTTCTCCTTCCTCCTCCTTCTTTTCTTCTCCTTCCTCCTCCTTCTTTTCTTCTCCTTCCTCCTCCTTCTTTTCTTCTCCTTCCTCCTCCTTCTTTTCTTCTCCTTCCTCCTCCTTCTTTTCTTCTTCTTCTTCTTCCTTCTCCTCACCCCCGCGCTGCCCCCCCGCAGGCCCGCCCGGGAGCCGCGATGCCTTTCTCCAGCTCCGGCGCGGACGATGCCTTCGACTACCTCTTCAAGATCATCCTGATCGGCGACTCCAACGTGGGGAAGACCTGCGTGGTGCACCGCTTCAAGACGGGGCAGTACAACGAGAAGCAGCAGAACACCATCGGCGTCGACTTCACCGTGCGCTCGATGGACATCGACGGCAAGAAAGTGAAGGTGGGGGGGGGGGGGGGGGGGGGGGGCGGCGGGGAGCGCAGCCTCTCCTGCTCGGCCCCGCTGGAGGCAGCAGGCAAAACCCGGCTGCCTTGCTGCCCAGGGCTGCTGCCGAGGGGGGTTTTCCCCTCGGGAGGATGCCCGGGGGGGGAGGCGGTCACCCGAATTTGGGCACGTACTCGCCCTCTTGGCTTCTCCGGCCCTACCTGCGGAGAGGGCTCGTGCTTTGGCTGCGGGGAGATGCTTGAAAGCCGGCTCTGGTTCGGAGGGGGTGTCTCTTCCTTCCTTCAGAGATGTGACGGTTTGAGCTGGGACACCGAGGAGGGAAAACTCTAGTTTGCAAAGGCTCTGCTTTGATGTGTGCTTGATTTGAGGGAAGGTGAGGACTTGTAAGACAAACACCAGGAGAAATTGCTAGCTACACCTTCCCTTCGTGTGCAGATGAAAGTTCAGATGCCTGCCCTTTACATAGCTTTGCTCTGCCCAGCCCTGCATCAGGGCTTCTTAGCTCTTCTCCCTTCCCTATTCAAAGGCTGTAACGCTCTACGTGCAGTTGTTGAAACCAAATTTCTTGGCCCCTTTGCAAAGCTGGGTTTACCTTTGCAGCTTTCGCTTTGGTCTGTGTAGAGTGCATTAACAGGCCTGTGAATGCCTCTTCCAATCTGGAGCGGGCAAAGCCACGCTGCAGTGGAGTGGAGTGAGCTGGGACAGGTCTAGCCGCCTTCTAGGCGAGGGGTTTCAAAAAGCGTAGCTGCTGATGGCACACACCTAGGAAGTGGCATTCCCTGGTCTTTACAACTTCTGTCCTTTCTTTTACAGATCCAGGTGTGGGACACGGCCGGTCAAGAACGCTTCCGGACAATAACCCAGTCTTACTACAGGAGTGCCCATGGGGCCATTCTTGCTTATGACCTTACTAGGAGGTCCACATTTGAATCCATTCCTCACTGGATTCATGAAATTGAAAAGTATGGTGCTGCAAACTTGGTGATGATGTTAATTGGTAGGAATCTAATTTTCAATATTATGTAGCTTTTCGAATGTGTATATACAATCCCCCTCGCTTTCCCCCCGCTACTTAAAGCAGATATAAACTATGCGTTAAAGCAGGTTTTGTTAAAGGAGATCCAAAAGTGCATCAGTTTGGCCTAAGCTTAAAAAATGAGGAAAGTCACAGCCCGGTCCTGACAGGACCGAACCCATTGCACAGAGTGAAACCTTTTTACTTGTCCCTTTCCTGCTGGAATAATGCACCAAGCTTGCCGCTAGTCTAGCAAGCAGGGACAACCTTACTGAGGTTAGAATTGCAGCTAAGTCTGACCCTCTACTCCTGATGTGCAGGAATCTAGCGGCTCAGTAATTCAAGACGAACGGGGAATGCACAGAGCAACACAACTCCTTGTTCTCATCTTTCCTCTCTGTCCTTTTGCTATGCATGCGCACTGCTCTGTAATGGGACTCCGATCAGGTAAGATGGTAGATGGGGACATGGCTTTTGCAGAGCATGAAGTAGCTGCTTGCACTGCTCCTCCTCGTTTATCCCCCTAGCATTCAGGAAACTTTTGCCTCTTGAGGAAAGGAATGGGTAGAGAATGGAACTGAGAGGAAGCAGCGTGGTGCTTTCCCTTTGTCTTTCAGGTGGTTGTTGCTCTTCCCTCCCCCAAGGAAGAAGCTGCAAATGAGAGAACTGGTGTAGCAAAATGACAGAGCCTTTACTTACATTCCACTGCGTCTGCCTGTTCCTCTGCGGCACTGTGCTGAGCAATTCGTGCAGCTGCAGCAGCCCAAACCGGCTCGAGAGCACAGGCAGCGTTGAGCCCCACGGCGCAGCAGGCGTGGGACACCAGCCTCTGCCTGGGCGTCTAGCAAATGCCTGAACTTCTGCTGTGGTGGTTCTTCCTCTGAAGAAACAAACAGCACATTCTGACCCACGTGTAACTGCAGTGCTTGGAATGAATGAGGGCAGGGGGGAAGAAATGTTGCTAACTCTGGTAGGGTTTTTCTAACTTTTCTCCTTAATCTAAGGAACAAGACCTAGCTCTGTGTGGGTGGTCAGGGCTGGCGGTGGTTTCTTTTAAAAAAGAAGTTCTAAAATTGGTTGAAATAAAGCTTTCGTCAAGGCTCCAGCTTTGTGCTTTCTTCTATAGCTGGTGCTGTTTGCTTTACTTCGTCAGAAAGTCTGTACATTTAATTCCACGTAGTCACGTTATACACCTTTCTAGCATGAGGTTAAGAAGTCTTAACGTTGCCATCTGGAACTGAATGAGGAAAGGGGGGGTGCTTTATTTTCAGAAGGCAAATAACCCTTAGGCAAGGCGGGTTTTTGTAGTGGGGGGGTTGTGGTTTTCTTTTGAGGGTGGGTTGGGTTTTGTTGTTTTTTTTTCTTTTTAGAAAAACTGAAAGGGATGTCTTCTATATGCTTCAAATTCAGATCTTGAATTTGATGAAGGGTTGTCTTGAAACTATGTATGTAGACTTCAGCCAGGTACTGCAGGTACCAGAACCGATGGTAATTCCGTGTGTGCTGCAATTACTTCTCTGAGGTGTTTCCTGACTTCTGGCAGCTTCCAACTAAACTGCTTCAAGTAGAAGTTTAATCTATATGTGCAGAAACTTCTTCAGTATACATTTTAAGCATTAAGGTAGCTGATGTGAACTCTGGTCTCTTAACATCACCTTAACATGACTGACTTGTACAAACAGGTCATATTAAAATCTGATTAACAATTCAGCAGATTCTTCCTGGGTTTTAGTGGGGATTTTTTGGAGGAGACCTGCTTTATAACTAACAACATTTCAGAGCTGCCTGTGTATCCACTCTGAGATGCATTAAGGTAGCTTGACACACGTGGCGAGGAATAAACCATTTCTTTTGTTTATTGTTTACTGTCTACGATCATGATAGCTCTAAGATTTGGGGTTTGGCTGGTTGTTTTTTTTTTTTTTTTTTTTTCAAATATTTAAGTTAAATGCTACTTAAGATTTAAAAACACTAGAGAATAGGGACCAATAGTTGCTTCCAAATAATCCTCTGGCACCACTATCTGCAGCAGGTAATTAGATGAACACAGGTTTTTAGTTTTTGTTTGGATTTTAACTCATTTGGTATCATCTGATTAGCTGTAGTTTTGTTCCACATTCTGTGGTTGTGGCTGTGATGTGCTCGTGTTGTTTCTTCCAGTAACTCCTAAATCTATTGTTTAAACAAAACAGAATTACTGTATTGCACTTAAAGATGAATTTTTGAGAGACTAAATTACTGAATTATCTATTTGCCTCCTTTTAAGGGAACAAAGCGGATTCACTGGATAAGCGCCAAGTCCTGTTTGAAGACGCCTGCACGCTGGCAGAGCAGTATGGGCTCCTGGCTGTACTGGAGACATCGGCAAAGGAAGCTCAAAACATAGAAGAGGTGTTCATGTTAATGGCTAAAGAGCTAATAGCCCGAAATACCTTACAGCTTCACGGAGAGAACCCCCCGAACAGCATCTACCTTGATTCCAGGCCAGTGATTGCCAGTCCGAGTGTGGAGAAGACCCAGTGCCTCTGTTAAAGAGATTTCAGGAAGAACTTGGAAGTCGGCCCTCTTCTGAGGCTGTCTGATTTCATTTTACTGAATTGATGAAAGTGGGCTAGGTGGCCTCAAGCCATCTCTCTTGCTATCTCTACCTTGCGGTTTGGCTTGTAAGTATCTTCAGAGATGGTTGTTGCTGTCGGTAGCACAGGTTGCTCTGAACAGGGCAGCTGATTCCCTAACGCAAACTCTTGAGCTGAGAAGGCTCAGGAAGCTGCCAGCCCTTGCGTTAACCAAAGAGAACTGTAAAAATTGTTGCCTTTCATTACAGCCTTAAATGATTTTCTGGCTATGGCAGAAGATAAATTTGTACTAGAGCTCTGCCTTTATTTGACCCTTCTAAGCACATCCTTAAATGATTTTCTGGCTATGGCAGGAGATAAATTTGCACCAGAGCTCTGCCTTTATTTGACCCTTCTAAGCGATTCTGTTTGTTCTAGTGCAAACACTTTACTCTTTGCCACTAGCTTTAAAAAGTCTGACACAGGCGTGGACAGCACTAACCCACTGCTGCTGAAACTTTCGCTGAGGGGGTGGTGCAGATGTCAGGCACGTAGCCACCCCTCGCCAGGAGCTTAGTAACATTCACCAGACAAACCTGGAGATATCCCTGGGGTTTCACAGCAGGCAGAATATGATACACCAGGGTCCCAACCCTCTTCCTGGGGTGAGAGAAGTTATCTTTTACTTTGCGCTCGAAGAATTGCTTCCAGTAGCTCTCTCTGTCTTACTACCCAGACTTGCTAGGCGTAGCAAAGCTTCCAAGACAGCAGTGATGGCCTAAATCAATGCTGGGGCAAAAGGACCTTTTTCTTCCCCTCCCCTCCAACCTTGTCATGCTTTTGAGGTGCTGATTTGAATCAAAAAGCCGCCTTTAGTTTGTGCGATGGGCCAAAGGGAGCTTGAGAGTATGCCTGTAGGTTTTCAAGGGAGAGTGAAGAAGGGATTCAAGCTCCTGTAAGACTCCGCAAGGGGTAAGATGGTTTAATTACATAACCTCAGCTTAGAGCATTAAGGGAAGGGTATGGGACATACCAGAAGGCTGCTCCTAGGCAAGTATAAATGCTGCTGCTATGGAGACTGAACACCTCAGTACAAGAGGCAGCTTTGTATTTATTGCTCCTCCCAAATGCAAGCTCTGCTATTGGGGCTCACTGCTATGGACTGGAACTGAATGAAGGATGAAGGCTTTGGGTTTTGGGATGTAGTTTTTGGTTTGGGGTTGTTTTTTTTTTTTTTCTCCAGTAGATGGAAACAGGGAAGGGGAAGGAGTTAAGAAATACTATACAGAGGAAGGCTTTTGACTGCAGTTCATGTGTACCAAAGTGCATCACTTACTGTTAAGCTATGAACTGGAACTCAAACTCTGTCATGGTAAAACACAGTCTGGGTTACCTGCAGCACAGCCCTGGGAAGACTGGAGAGCTGTTCGCTTACCCGATGGCAGTCTACCCATGCTTCATGAGCAATTAAAAAATGGAAAAACGTGTAGCAAGTATTGCTGGAAAATCTTGTCTGAGAAGCACAAAAAATAAAGCAGGATGAATCACTAATTTATAGTCTTGTAAGTATTTCTATTATTAATGCTGCCTGCCTCTGGCCAGGTTCTTCGCTATCACACGCAAAGAGCTGGGGTTAATCTTCAGTGCTAGCCTCTAAGGCTTTGGATAGAGCCTGCTGTGGAGAAAGCTCCATCCTCAGGCATCTTCTTTCTGAGGTTTACTTTTAAATCTTAGTTTTCATCTTACTTTGGTATGAGCCTAGTAGTTGGCATTTCAGTGCGCACATTTAAGCAACGGGAATCACCATAACCTTCAACATAGCTGAACAAGTAACAATCCAGCTTCCAAACTACTAGTTTCTACACATTGTCACTAGGTTAACAGTCAAATCTAAGTTTAGTATTATTGTGCTTTTAAAATCCAAACTATTCCCAGTAGTGGTTTGTAACGTAGCAGGTTTTACTTTTTTTTTTTTTAATATCCACACTTAAAACTTCTAGCTAACTTAGTTCTATTTCAGTTATACCAGAGACAGTAGTTGCAGCAAATACTAATCTTCCAGAAGACCTCAACAGCAAAGTACTGTGTTCATCTCGTTATACCCCTCCATCAGGCAAGAACTAGAGGATCTTACTAGCAGAGTATTAACCTTTGTATGATCCACTGAGTTTACTGCCTTAATTAAGAGATTCCTGTATCCACTGAGTTTACTGCCTTAATTAAGAGATTCCTGTAGGAAGTTATTTCCCTCACCCTCTGTATGGAGACAGCTGCAGGCTGATGCTCCCTGAAGGGCCCAGCACTGCCAGGTTCCAGGGCTCTTGTGCCCTTCTCCCCCCACGCACAAGGAGCTACCTGCCAAGTGAGTCCTTCCTCAGCAGAGAGATGGGCAACAGCGGATGGGGCAGACCAAGTCCCCTTTCCTTTGACAGGTATGATGGGCTCCTTACCACTCTGTCAAGAAACTAGTCTTAAATACCTCCCTGTTGCACAGCTGAGCTGGGAGCCTGACCTCTCCTGGTGGGTTCTGTTTGGCATCTTCCACAAGCCCTTTGGGCAGTTACACTGAAGAGTGGCCCCTTTTTTAAGCTGTCCTCATGTGAATGAAGGGCAAGCTGCTGCAGTTGCTAAGAAGAAGGTTCTTCAGATTATGTATTAGTAGACAGTATTATTCATGAGGTAATACACGAGGCAAGCTGTAAACTTTAAAAAGCCCCCTTTACCATAGCAGGTCTGGAGTGTAAGATAGCAACTGCTAGGTTAAAAACCAAACACAGTGTCACTCCTGCAGTTGTGCCTTTCCCCACCACGGAGCAGATGCAAGCATGTGGCCATGACACTGCAAGTAGCATTAACTGCTGCAGAACCTTACATTAACGTGTTTGTTCCCCCAGCTCCATCTGCTAGATTCCACGTGCTTCCAGCCAGCCTCATTAACGCACTTGCAGAAAGTGTCCCTGATTGTAATGTTGTTTACAGTGCTATCCTAAAAACTGCGCCTGTCCCACAGTCTTAAGAGCTGCACCTCCAGCTTGAAGATGAGCTTATTTGTTAAATTTTTATCTGCTCAGCAAAAAGATTTGAATCTTAGCTGTGTCGCATTACCTGCCCTAACATCACAGCCATGCCCCGAGACTGAAGCAGCACCTGTCCGAGTAACAGGGCAACAAAAAACTTAAAGTATTTTAAAATGGAGCAAACTCTGACACCTCCCAGAAGCTGCCTGTCTTAGAAGCAAATATAACTGCAAGCCAGTGGCGTGGAAGGCACACAGCACTGCTGATGTGGTCAAGATTTCTCCATCCATAAGGGACAAGCTCTTAATAACAAAAGCTGAGCTTCTTACCTAATCATTTAAGTACAGATGGAAAGTGAGAAAGCCATTTTCAGGCCCTGAACAGAGACAGAGTGCTCTATCCTGGAGCCTTTTTTCAGGCAGGAGATGCATGCCTGTGCTTACAGATTTGGAACTGTGAACCCCAACCAGGCTAGTGCTCTGACCACAGCGCTGGCTGAAGGTGCCCCTTCCCAGCTGTGGGCTGCCAAGAGGTGATTTTTAAGTATCTCAGTTCCCACCCACCACGTTTGGCTGCAGGCAGGGGGGCTTTGGTATCCACTGCTCCTTGTACTGACCCCTGAGGCCGTTTTCAAGCGCCTCCCTCATGTTAAGGACTGGAGCTGCAACAGGCAATGCTGGGCTATCATCAGAGTCCTGTGAGAATAGTTTTAGACAGGGCAAGAGCTCCTTTTACATAAGAGTACCTCAACTTCTAATAGCAACTTCTAGTTTGAGAGAGGTAGCACTTTTTCTATGCAAATCACATCAAGCTGTTGCCAAACAGGTGTTGATTCTGGCTTGCCTACAAGTGACAAACAGCATAGCCACAGGTAACAGCAGCAAGTAAGGGCAGAGGTTTAGCATATTTGCAAGCCCACGTTCCCATGCTACAGCTGCATCCACGAACATCACTGCTTATGAGTTTTCACTGCCATGTTTGTCTAGTTTTGCTTATCTGAAGTGAGGCTCACCACAACTACAGTTTAATAACACCTCTCCAGTGCTAGCACTGGAGTAAAACTGAGTGTATCAGTTCAATTCCTACAGCACAGTCCTGTACTGCATCTCGATCCTAAGGCACTAGGTGTAGATTCCCTCTTGTTTTAAGCTGCCGTAGCATTAATAATTCCATGTATACAAGTTTTGTTCCAAACATGAGACACTCCGTACCTCACAGTATCCTCCCAACGGAAATCTATTTTGTAGCTGCTGTAGCAAGAAAGATTTACTTTGTATTTCATTAAGTGAACCAGGCATCCCCTCAGGAAGATTACAGTACACCTTGGGCTACAACCAGGAAAGAGCTGTGCTACCTCAATCGGAACTAAATCAGCAGAGGTTGTAAGAAGCACTCCTTGCTTGTATAATCACATTCAGACTAATTAGAATGGGCAGCAGTCCCTTATTTTGCACTTACAGATTTTTGCACAAAATGCAAAATTTTCTATCAAACCACACATATCTATTTTTGCAGGGAGTGGTCAAGTCCCTTCAAGCGAGAGCATGCATCTTATTTTAAAGATTTTTGTTTTGAAATCAAGATTTTGCTGGTGGAAGTTTAGGGAGTGTTTGTACCTTTTTCATCTTGACACCACTCTCATTGGCCTCCAGTTTCTCTACCTTAGGCTGTGTTACATTTACTTTAAGCAAATACCTAAGTCATCACCCTCCATATTTTTGCATTAGAAGTTTGCCTTAATTCTACTGATTTTATTCCTGTTTAGAGGAAAACCGTAACAGCCTACCAACATACTTGCTTCATTTCAGAGGCCCTACTCTTTTCAGTCATTCCAGTTTGAAGGATGAGGGTGTGGGAAGCGTAGTGCAACAGCAAGCTTAGAAACGGGGCACCACCAAGATTCAGACTGACAGTGACACACAGCAGTACTGCTTGATGGCAAACACACGCAGTTCTTTAACTTCCAGAGCAAGAACCACAGCGCGCTTCAACGAGATCAACAGAAACTACCTGTCACCTTGCAGCCAGACAGAACAGCTTCCAAAGCAAATCACTTATTTGCGTATTCTCAGCTTCCCCTCCGACACGTACAGAAGCAAGGTTTAGAAGCAGTGAAGGAAAAGCTGATGCATGTGCTATGGCTGGTAAGTTTATTATGTTCTTCCATCTTACCAGAACACATCTTTGTTAAACTTACATTTGAATATAGCTTCCCAATAGGATTATGTACACTACGTAGGAGAGGAAAGGCTAGTTCTACTTCAAAGCCTTTCATTTTTTCTGTTTCGCTATCAGTTCTAAATCTCATTTGGGCAAGTTATGTTCAAATTCTTTTCTCCCTCTGCTACTTGCCTCTGGGGGAAAAAAAAAAAAGGCAAAACAAAAAAAAACCCCAACGAACCAAAGATGGTTTTAAAGTGTTCAGTTAAACTTTTCTTAGTCATATCCCTCAGCATCTGAACATGCTTCTAGTACTTTACTTTCAACTTTATGTATTTCTGCAGAAGAACGCTGCTTTCTGGACAGAGGCTTAAAGCAGCATGTGGATTCTCAGGAAGTGACCTGTAGCAGTGCTTGGACTTGCCGTTCAAACAGTATTGTGGCAGAAAATTATCAACAGAATACGTGCTACAATTGACATTGTTCAGGACAAATAAAATTAGTATTATAGTACAGAACTTACTTTTGAGAAAGTAAGCCACATCTGTTCCCACTAATGGCCCCATATATTCCTTCAACAGTTCAATTGTCTCAGCTGTCTGTTCAGAATGTGTTCCTTACATTACAGGCTCTTTGCTGGAAAAGTTATAACCAAGTTAAAATTCTGTATTAGCCTGACACGATTCTGCAAGAGTTAAGCGACATAAATGCCTTTACAGGAACATACACACACAAAAATACTCAATCGCACTGCAACACAGAAGCTTCAAACTTATAAGAACAGACTGACTTCTTGTTTCTCTTTTTTTTTGTGTGTTTTTTTTTTTTTTTTTTATTTGGGAAAAGTGCTTCTTACAAAAGGCAGCTGCAAAACAATACGTTATCGACCTCAGAACAATTTCTCATTCCATTTAAAAGTGAAAGGAGAGGCAGTCTAGGGGACAAGAGCAGCAGGAGAACAGATCACGGGGCATCCACGAGTCAATAAAAAACAGCAATAACGTAATGCAAGGTTAAAATTCCTGTGCTGGGGCTTTGGTGGCAAAGTAATTTCTGAATGCAAATTACAGCCAGACACTGCATGACTGCCTTTGTAAGCAGTAACTCACAAACTGAGCAGCTTTGCCAGGCAACCTGCCCAACTCAGATGCTGAGAGGCACGTGTACCTCAAACCAGCTGAGAGGCACAGTGATTTCCTAGCGAAGCTCACAGCTTAAGTGGTTACACCAAGTTCTAAAACTTAGAGCAATAAAGCTAAAGGGGCCTCTCTGGTGTTCCTCTGACCCCACCTCGGCTAACCGGATTTCTGCTCCTTGACAACCCTAATCATACACATGAAAGAGAGCTGGTCTATTAGGGAGTGCCATCTACTAAGTTAAGCGATAGTCAAGATCACTGCCACAGGCTGGGCTGAGACCACTAAACCAGTTTCATGTCCAATTGGAGGCTAGACTTCATGCACCAAGAGGGGATGAAAGATGGTTTTGTTATTTTTAACTTACAGAGAGTCTCCCCATCCTTGAGGTCCAACTCTACATTTATCTGTATATACACATAGAGAGTTCTCCTTTCACAAAGACATTTTCCTTTCATGCTAAACACAGTAAAAACCCAGAACGTTCACACCTGGTTCTGGTTACACAGTAGTAATAGTAATGTGCAAGTAAACAAGAGACCAAAACCACAAATGAAGACGTGTACATGAGGGGGCTGGAACGGACCTGATGCCAGAAAGAGAGTATTTGTATCCGGCCTGAAGTCAGAAATATTGGTACAAAGACAGAAAAAAGGCCATCAGCCAATTTACATCCCCCACTGCATGGCCACTGCTCATTTTTGTATCTGGGCTCTTCAAAATGAGTGTGGAAGTCCTGTAAACACTTTAACCCTGGAACTGGGTGAACTCTGTTGGGTACACAGATGAAGCAACAAACCTAAGCTAACTGTTTGACAGTTAAATTCATTTTTACAAAAACTAACAATTTAAAGATTTATTTCTTGTTATTCGTTTAAACAGAGGAAAAACAACACTCCCGGGGTGGAAGGGGATGGGAAGAGACAGACCCTGGGTAAAAGTTATTACAACAGCACCTGGAATTGATCGGCCTGCCTAAGAGAAACACAGGCACTGCCACAACACCACAGGTAATAGCTACTGCCTGAAGCCAAGACGACAGTCCACACTCCACTGACAGGTGCTATAGATCCAAGTCATAATAATCTTCCAGCTCATCATGAAACAAGTCCCACTCGTCCTCGGAATCCGTTAGCTCATCGTCACCTCCTGCTGCCAACAGCATAAGCAACATCTCACCGAGCTCAAAGGTCACCACCTCATCCTCGTCCGTCTCGAACGGATCACCGTTCTCCCGCTCCTCGATGAACTCCCAGAACCGATTCCTCCGCTGGGCCTGCAAGTGGAACACAAGTATTTCCCCAGGTCACCAAGCAGTACAAGGTAGGAGCCTTCCCAGAGGCTGACAAGGTTCAGCCCCCGGCGTACTTCCCAATATGCAAAAACCCCCATGTTTCTGTTTCAGGGGGATACTGACCTCCGGGAGAATTTACCCTCACACACCCCTACTAACGCTACCCAGTATTTCTACTTCAGTATGTTGGTGTACTAGGAAAGTTTTTAAAATTCACTCTTCCCATCTTGGCCTCCAGCACTCAAACTTTAGACCACCGCCTCCTTCAAATTCACCATTACAGAGTTCTACCAGAAGTTAAGAAAAAAAGAAAGAAGAGTCAATATTTCCCTGTCCTCTTCTCAGGGCAGCCGATGTAATGCACTCCTCTTGCGCTTGCTCTGGACAGAAAGGACAGAAAACAGCAGCACTGACCCGGTATCTACTTGATGTACCCACTTTGGGTCTTTGGGGCTCCTCTCGGCGGCCATCAGGATACGCATGTTTGTAAAAACAGTTCCCTCCAAATGGACAGCTCCCACGGCCTTCGTCGAAATACCTGCATGGCTTGTTGCTGGAAAGGAAAACACCGCAACCCTTACTCACAGCAGACCCCAACCAGACTTCAGAATTGCATCTACCTGTAGTCCAAAAAGGATCTCAGGTATCATTTGCAGCTGAAGGTGTTTTGTCAGTAGAACACCTATGCGGAGACGTGACGCACGACGCGACACGTGTGGGTTGATGCATGCACAGGGACACTGACGGCTTGCAGCGCACGAGCTCGTACTACCTTATGGCTATGCCGCCAGGGTTTTGTGTACAGAAGGGAAAGATCAGGGTCCAAAAACACAGGAATAGCTTCGCGACTGTGTGGTTGCATGCATCTGTGAGTGGCTAAGTAAGGACGTGGAAAGGAGGTGTGAGAGGGCTTTACATCACCACCCTTCGCCAGGTGGCCCTCTATCTCTGCTGTCTCAACTTGACAAAAGGCTGCAGTGCTCATACCTCATTGCCTCCTTGTATTTCTGAATGAGTTTCTGCTTCTCTTCCTTCTCCTCCACCCAGTACTCACTTGGAATGACAAAGTTAGATGTGATCCGACATTCTGGGCAGGACCTGGGGAATGAACAGACTGCGCTGCAAAACTCCGCATTACAGGGCGCTCTCTCTCCTACATAACAAGCCATGGCATATATCCATCTTTCAAGATGTACCGTACCCGCACACTTGCTGTACAGGCTTGTCAATCTAGACTCTCTCTTACACATGAAGATAACCTAAACTCTTTTCTTCAAGAACTCAACGGCAATTGCAGCTGGTCAGCTTGTCTCAAAAAAGCGTGAAAAAACACTTCACACAGACTCCTTTTTCTTTAAAATTAAATAAATTTATTTTGCTTTGATTTCTGTGTTTATTTGATTGGAACTTTGTTTTTCTAGAACAGCCTTTAAATGCAGAAATGTTCTGTCAACTGATTAATGAACTAAGGCAGTAATGACTTAAGAAGCATACATTCTGAACTGGTTAATCTGTTCTCAGATTCCTGGCTGGGTGTCCGAGACTTTAAAACAGTAACCACTGGACAATATGCTACTGAATAAATGAAAATTATTTTATACCATTAAATCAGTTTTGCAAACTTAATCCATATTAACCAAATCAGAGTGTAAATGTTATCCCTAAATTATTTCACTTCCAAACTAAAGTTAGTATGCATTAGATGCAGTCTCTGTGCAGTCTGCATCTGGAAGTCTGTTGCAAGTTGTCACAAGTTACTAAGTTCTTCCATAGCAACAAAGCACAATCGAAATGGGAAAGCGCCTCACTTTATAATCTTGCTCTCAAATTGTTTAGCACTCCTCCACTTGCGGATGCACTTGAGACAGTAAGTGTGGCTGCAGTTGGAGAGGATCCCAAAGCGGCGCTCACTAGGATTAGCTTTCTCATACACCACCTCCATGCATATCCCGCACACCATGTCTTTGCTACGCTGGACGGCAAATGAAAGCTCCATGTCCTTCTCGTGAGCTTCAATGCAAGACTGAAAAGGAGAGACAAAGAAAACTGCTACAGAGACAACTGGGTCACCTGGTGAACTCTAAGGAGTTTTTTAAGCTCAGTTTTACTCTGCTGTTTTGCATAATGAATGGAGTACGATTAAAGAAAAATCTTTATCCTAAAAAAAAAAAAATTGCTCAGATACCAGGGAGCAATCAATTCACAGTTCAAATTCCTTTCTTCAGACACTGCTTTTAAACATGAGAAAGGCAATCTAAAAGACCATCCAGTTTTACTAGGCAAAGAACAAAGCTTTAGTATCTTTAAGCAGACTGCTTTCCCAGCACAGATAAGGAAACCCAGCTGCTTCTGAATATGGCCCTGACAGGAAACAGTCCAGTTTACAACAGTAATTTCATTCACTGCCTGACCTGCATGCATCTTCAAATGAAAGGGAGTTAGTGACAAGTGATTGCGAGGAGCTAGGAAGCAATAGCTTACAGCTGTTTAACACCAGACAGTTGTTTGCTTACCTTTATGTGCTGGGATCTCTGTGCTGCATCAATTGGATGCAAGACCTGCAGCCCGCACATATCACACACATCCCCATGGATATACACGCAGTTTTCTCCGTAACGGCATTCTCCTACTGCAGCGTAGGGGCACAGCTCCTTCTTTATCTCCACGTCTGCTTGCTGCTTTTCGTATTCTTCCTCAATCACCATTTCCTCCAAGGGTGCTTCAGCACAGGAAGGAGCAGCTGGGAACAAAATTAAAGACCATAAGCAACACATTCAGATTTAGAACACTGGGAGCGAGAATACAATGTTTTAAAGTAATCTTTGGGTAACCCTGCTCAAGTTATCCGAAGAGATTAATAAAAATAACCCAAGTTCACTTCAGTCCAAGTTTCACACACCCTCAACATGAACTAACGGTTATTTTCCCACTCAAGAAAGCACAATCAATTTCTTCATCCTTCAACCCAGACAAGACTAAAGCTATCAAAGTTTCAGTGGTCAGACTCAGATCCATTTATAAGCTAAGTCCACACTAAAAAAATCTCACTAGTCCTCAGCAGCTTAAGTACGTTTTTATACAAACTCTGGTTCAGCAACAGTTAAGTAAGGTTACAAATCTCACTGCTTTGGGAATTAATTCCACATCAGCTCAAGTTAACAGGCTTTTTCCCAGAAATTACACAGCTGAAGCACTGAAGAAGTATCCAACATAACAAAATGCTAGTATGGAAACACCACACCAGCAGCTCCTTATGTGCAGGTTAATTAGCATCTCGTTCAGTGTCAACAGATTTTCACTTCTAGACTCCCATGCATCTGTATGAATGATACAAAAACTGTGTCCACACCTCTCGCCAAACTAACTCTGTTCTAGGTATTTGTCAAAACCCCTGTCCTAAACATATTTTATCTATCAGCCAGACACATAAACCTAGCTTTAAGGAACTGAAATTCTGGGCATTTTCATTCTATTCTAAGCTAGCCATCGGTTTTGCAAAATTCTAAGTAAATTCCCTTAACTAACTCTAAATTGAACTGAAATCTGTATCAGTTCCCTTCCTCATTTAGACAGCTTCCACTTAGCACCTCTCCCTGTACCTCTTGAACATACGCCTGTCTGCATCACCACAGGCAAACAGCCTTTTGAGATCATTACACAAGTAGGATGGTAAACTAAGTTACAAGGCAAAAGCAGTCGGTTTGAAACTGAGGATGTAATAAACACAGGGGGACAACACAGCATTGCTACTCAGAATAAACACTCGGAAGAACAGCAATTGGACTTCATTTACATAACCATTAGCCATTACAAGAGTAAAGTGATCTAAGCTATAAGAAAGCGTGACTTTTATAAGCCATTCGAGCACTAGATTTGGGGAAATAAGCAAAAACTATCAAGTGCATACTTGGATCAGTAGAAGTGAAGGACATGCACGCTCACACAGTTTTCATCCCCACTGAGCAAAGAGATACAACAAGGACGTATCAGCCTGTTAGCTTTTGGACATAGAATGAAAAAGCAGGTCCCCGAGAGCTCAGTTTTGCGGGATAAGCAAATACTGAAAATTAGCATAGGAAAACATTAGCTCTGAAAATAAGTTTGAGTTTGCTTCTTGAACCATCTCTGACTTTAGACATCACTCGCACTGATCTTGGATCAGTCTGTTTGCTACAAGCATAGTTACAAAAGTAAGTGACAGAAAAACTAGTCAACTGTCAACCTGCTCATTTTTCAGTAAAACATTCCCAAGCAAAACACCTTCAATACCTCTTCTTCCCATGAGTTCTTGCTGCCAGTTCACTAGAAAAATAACAAGCAATGCTATACTAGGCTCTACCTACTCTTCTGAGTAGCTGAACATAATATGAAAATTTGTACTTAACTGAAATACTGAAATCTACCCCCACCCCTCATCCCCGTTTGAAAGTCGTGGTCTCCACTTCCAGAAGACGTAACAAAAACAAACCAACAAAAAAAAAAGCACAACTATCAGACAGTTTTTATTTTGTCGACTGCCATTTTTGCCAGGTTTTTTTCTAGTTAATGTTGTTACAGATTTTTTCACCTAGTTGATTCACATGACTTCTGATACCTTGTTTGATCCTTACCAAGGAAGCACAGTTTAGAAGATCATAGTATGGATGGGCAGAAGCCTACTAAACAGACAAATGCAGCCGAGTTTGAGGAATGGAGTGATACAATACTGTTAATGGGGCTGGCAAGATCATCTTTGCTTAAGGCAATCCTACATCCCTGGAAATGCATACTTTGAAACAAGAGGCACATTTGAAGCTTCTCTTAACAGAAAAAATTTCCCAGTCACCTGCTCTCTTCAGTGGTATATTTTGTCAAAACTTCATTCAGTAAGGGTTTTATTCATTAAAAAAAAAAAAAAAAACAAAACAAAAAAAACCACCCACAAAAAAAAACACAAACCCCCCCACGCTTATTACTTAAGGTTCTTTGAGAATAAAGGCTTTGAAGTCTTACCCCTCCAGAAACTGACTTAGAAACCCATTTATTTACTATGCTGGAATACAGGAGAGAGCAGAGCTTCACATCTTGGCACAAAGCATACAGTTGTTACTTAAAACAAACAACCTCCAACAACAACTAGTTAAGTCAACAAGCACAGTACACAGTACAGCTACTAAATTCCAGCCCAGTCCACAATACCATCCTTGCACAAAAAAAGTACAAGCAGTTCTTAAGGACGAGACATCTAGACAACAAGATACAGATCTATGAATATCAGACTTTTAATACTGGCTCTGGGTACTTCTACAGTGAGAGGGTGGGAGAGGGAGAAACATGCTAAAAGCGACATTAGTTTTCTAGTCCCAGTCTTCTGTGCTGTCCCAGCACTTCCCCCCTCAGCGAGAGCTGTATTTCTATGAAATAAAAATTTAATTAGGATTTCCACTTCTGAGTATCTCGGCTTCCACAGCCCTGCATATGTATCTCCTGTATCTACTGCACTCTACCTGCTACAGTTCTGCTTCGTTTTTGAAAGCAAAATTAGAGAAACTCACAAGACTCCTTTGCCTCACTAGTTGCGAATCCAACACCCTCACAGACTAACATCCACTGTTTTCAAAACCACTATTCTCCAGCAGGTGGACCCAATCCCTATTTTCTCCCTGCCCATTTCACAGTCAACAGGGTTAAATTTGTACTAGGGAAAAAACTAGTTCATTACTTTCAATTCACACACCAGCTGCTTTCACTCTACGACACACTTTGTAGCATCAAATATGCTCATCTTGTAGCAGCAGGAAACAGTCACCCAATTCACTGTTTCTTGTATTTCTGCCTTTCTACACTCCCTTAATTATTCCAGAACATCTAGCAGCAGTAGCAGCAGAACAAATACGGAAATATGGTGCATCTGTACATCAAACAAGCGAGTAGCTGAAGAATCTCACTATTTTCTTTGCTAGGCCCTGAGGTCATCTTCAAGATAGCAAGTTTAATCCCAAATCAGAGAATCATCTGCATAAGCAGAATGTCTTGACTCCTAATAAAGGATGAGCATTATAGCTCAAACTATGCATGGTTGAACTGCCAACCCTGAATCTTCAACATTTGTAAGACAATTTAAAACACGCAGGCTTCTAGCTAATCTTGAGAAATAGGTTCCATTTTAAAGTTTCCAAGTGCCTGTACATTTCTCCAGGCATTTGACAAGAATAATGTATAAGGCTTTAAAGTACACACCATGAAACACAGTGATGCACACATCTTCCTGATCAATACAGCAAGGTTCTTCATTTTCATAGCTTAATAAAGACAGTGGCTTCAGAACAGTGAAGTTTTTAAAATGCAGCTTTTTTTAAGAAGTCACCACGGGTATTAGCATCATGTAGCACTGTTCCGAACACAAACAGGTGAGCATGTTCGGACATTAAAATACGTCAAATTTCAAAGGACACAGAGAATTTGAAAAAAGATTCAGAGAAGAGACTTATTTAACTTAACCCATGGCAGCCACAAGTTTCCATGAAAAATAAGCCTGATCCCTAGAAAAAGGAACTGCTTCAGTAAAACTGAGTTAAAAGTATAATGAAATGCTCTTACACTTCAGGAGCTTAGGAAAAAGCACCAGCTCTCCTATAAGGAGTAGGGGTATTTCAAAAATCTCTGGCTGTTCAAACTAGGAATGAATTGATTCCAGTGGAGGACCAGCCATCCATTAAGGGGGCTGAAGCCCACGAAAAGAGACAGGGAACTGGACTGGTTCAGCTTAATAAGCTATCTTCCTGCTATCTTCAACTACCTAATGGAAAGGAATGAAAAATCCAAACCACAGAGCCAGACTCTTCTCAGCTGTGCACAGTACAAGAGACAGAAGGCAAGCCAAGGCAGGGAAAAATGCGATTACATATGAGGTAAGGGTAACATATTAACAGGTAGAAGACAAGTTTTCATTCCTCTGGACTATACACAAGTCACAGATACAACAAACAGCTCCCTAACCAAACTTCTGAACACCACTTCCTCAAATCAGATCCGAGCAGGCTCCAGCAGCACCCTGTAACATTGAGAAGGTAATTCTCCTTCCAGATCCGAGAATCTGAGTAGCACTGTGGAGACAAAGAAGTATAATCTGAACACTATATAACAATTTCAAACTCTTCTGGACACAAGGTGTATGTATGTCAGCCGTTTTTTCCAACAATTATTTGAGCACTCATGGCCATAAGCCTTCAGTTTTCGAGCACCAAGTATTAGAAATGATGCTAAAGTAAACACCTTCAGCCTAGTTTTCACTTAAAATTTAAGTCTTTGTGCTATCCTCCTGCAGGGAAAGCAGATGACAAGCATGCTACTTAAACAGTCTGGCCACATATGATGAGCTGCTTCAATTTCATTCTCAACGTGAGCTGTCAAAGTATTAGAAAGTCAAGTCTCAAATGTAACCAGAATAAATGATTTTCAGCCTCTGGTCTGAACTGCCACAGGCTTCATGAAAGCAAGCATTAGGCTTCAATTCATTCTGCAGGAATCTGTACCTTCACTGGAAAACCTTTAAATGACTGCAAAAAAACACCCAAAGAAATTAACAAACAAAAAAACCCACAAAGGCAGATGATCTTTCCAAAGAAGTGGTATTAACTGCATCACCAGTATTTTCTTCTCCTGTCACATACGCAAACTAAACTTCAAAGGAGATTCCTCAAGTCATTTGGAACCGTAACAAGAGGAAGCCAGTTTGTAAAGACTGTCAAACACCTGGTTTCAGAACATCGGGACAACAGTAGTAACTGACATGTAACAGTTTGACTACTCACATCAGAAAATTCAAGCCTAAGTTAAGGACAGATCACTTGAAGTGATTAATAAATACAAATAGCTGTACTCAAGAAAAAGCATTAAAATAAATGCACTGTGTATAAATTGTTGACCCATGACAGAAATGTTCTGTTATCCCATGACCAGCTTACCACGTCCACAGTACGGCTGCCCAGGGACAAACTCTACAGCATTCACCCAGTCTTCAGCACCTACTCCTGCAGCTGCCAGATCTGCATCTTCATCTTCAATCTCAGCGATAATTTCTTCAACTGTTTCAGGGAGCGATGCGAAGTCTGAGGATACTGAGGGATAAATTTCTGCTTCTGGATTCATATCAGTCATTTCTTCCTGTTTCAGTGGCTTGGTATGTTCGTATCTAAAAAGTTGAAACATATCATGTCAACTCTTCACAAAAAGATACCTCTGTAAAGCAGCCAAAGGTACTGGAAATACACTGATTAAGATGTAAAGACACTATCTGGAAGGAGGACCTAGAAATGGCTTGAAAGAGAAAGCCACTGATGAGCCTTTAGCAAGACATGGTTCCACTTGTGTAATGTGTCAGCACTGCTTAGGAAACAGAAGGTACTCCAATGATTTTGGAGGAAATGTAGCAGCACGCACAATCCTTACTTAACCTACACAGAATGAACTTCAGTTATGTTCAAAACTGGTCACATACCTATTAAAGCATGTGTAGTATTACCGAATAAGATAAATTAGTCCATTCAGCTTTAAAAAAAGACTAAGGGCAGATCCGGCTGTCTTCAACTACCTCATGGAAAGCCACAGGAAAGATGCAGCCAGAGTCTTCTCAGAGGCGCAGCAATAGGATGACAGCCAGTAGACAAAATTCCAAAATGAGAAGTTACAATCAGATATTAGGAAAAAACTTCACTGTGAGAATAGGCAAACACTGGAATGGGTGCCCAGAGAGGCTGCACAATCTTCATCCTTGCAGATAATCAAAACTTGACTGGACAATGCCTTGGGCAACCTGACCTAAGCTGGCTCTGCCTTCAGCACAGCTCCAGAGATCTCCACCAACATAAGTGATTCTGTATCTGGGCATCTTGCCTCATTCAGATTTTACACTGATTTTTAGTAGTTATTTCTAATGCCTCTTTCAACTTACTGTAGAAAACGATGCTTAGAATGCTTTGATCCCTACCACCCACAAACAACAGGAAAGCACCATTTCCCTCAAAAATCTGTCTTCCAGCAATTAGTAGACTACATGGGAAAATAAACTAGAGGTGTACCTCTGAAGTCACAGATACTTGCTGACTAATTTCAAGAACAGAGGGAAGGAATTTTTGGAGATCATACAAAACTTAAGCAACTATAATTCATTTACCTTGTGTCAGATTGAAAACAACAAAGTGTCACAGTTCTTGCATATTAAAGAGATGCTCCCAATCGAATGTCAGCTTTCAAATCCTAAGGAAGCTACGAAGCACAAATTTAAAAGTCAAGCCTTCAGACCTCTACAGCAGCGGTCTCCAAAGTGGTATGCATGCAGCCTAGGGGGTGTGCAAGACAATCCACTGGGGTGCACGAAGAAAATACTAGAGCTTTTTTCTCTTTCTAAAAAAATAAGAATTTCAGTTTTACTAATATCGAACATACAGATTGACAGCAGCATCCTCACTCGGTCCGTGTGTCAGAGGGTCCCACGTATGGTATGCGCAAGGTGTCCTGAAGGAGGAGTGGGTGTTCCACCACGCAGCAGGGCTGACAGCGGCACCCTCGCTTCTTTGTTCACTTTCGGCATGTTTCAAAACATGGCAGTTTGTTTGCATCCAATTAAGCGGACTGGCAGATTATATTATCTTGTTTTACCTAAACTAACTCTGACAAAAGGAACAAGTGGCTTAAAAAGATTCCTGCAAATAAACTGTGGACTGCAGACAAGAGTGATAACGTGAGCACAAGCCAACAACAAGAAAACGTCAGAACTAACACTTCTCCTACTCCTACTATGAGCCCTTCACTACAAGGAAAAGACAATGCCAACCTAATCAGATCTGACAAGAGCTTAGAAATGATAAATAAATTGAGATTACCAAGAGGGCTATTTGAAATATGGATCTACATCCCCTATTATTAACAGTGAGCTTTGCCCTGGCTGTATATCGTGCCTTGAGATGGCAGCTAATGATAGTATGAAGCCATCACAGTTAGCAAGACATTTAAAATCTAAACATCCAGAACACGAAGACAAACCTCTACATTTTTTTCAGAGATTTTTCAAGTCATGCAATACTCAACCCAGAACTTCACAAAACTTCACAGTAAATGTTTAGAAGCCTCTTCTGAGGCTTCTTGCATAACAGTGAAAGACAAAAAGCCACATACCATTGCACCACTCGTTCTTCCTGCTGTGGCAAAAAAGACTGAAATAACACATGGAAAACAATATGGTGACAAAGTAAAACACATTCCTTTGTCAGCAAATACTGTTGGGAAATGCACAGAAAACATTGCTGAAGATGTGAAGAAACAAGTAATAGAACAAATTTTGCAGTGTGGGAAGTTTGCTGTACAGCTGGATGAAGTACAGATGTTTCTAACATGTCTCAGCTTATGACAATTGCTAGATGCTTTTTCAATAATGAAATCCACATAGAACTTTTTTTTTGTGAGCCACTCAAGAAAAGATGTACTAGAAAAGATATATTCTCAATAAATTACTTTTTTAATAAAGAGCCATAAAAAAAATGTACTGGAAATGTATTCCCAACAGTAAATGACTTCTTTAATAAAAACAGTATTTTATGGAAAACTGTGCAAGTATAACCACTGATGGAACCATTGCTTTGGCTAGAATAAAAAAAAAAAATTGCAGAGTAAGGTTAGAGGTAGCACCACACTAGAGATTCATTCACTGCATCCTTCATAAGCAAGACATTGTAGCAAAGATGGAGCCAGAGGCACACAAAGTGCTACAATGTGATCAATACAGTTAATTTTATAAAAACAAGACCTTTAAATAGTTGAATCTTTACAACACTTTAAGAGATGGGGAGTGACCATGAAAATCTGTGCTACACAGGTTTCCAAGTTATCTTGTGATAAACTGCTTAAAAGTCATCAAAGATGAGTTACACATTCTTCTTTCACAAACAGACAAGTGCTCTAAATTTGCTGACCTTTTCTGTGATGACAAGTCACTGTCAGTAGCACGGTATCTAGCAGATATTTTCAAAAAGTGAAACACATTAAATCTGTCCCTTCAAGGTAAAGAAAACGTTTTCAGAGTAAGTAACTGCTTTTTGAAAGAAACTTGCAGTATGGGGACAACATCTTGAAAGTGGATGTTGCAAAACATTTCCACCATTATGCACTTTGTTGCCAAAAACGATGCAAGTGTGTCAACTATAAAAAACTCTCATATCTTGTGCACTTAAACCTTGGAAACAGAACTCTTAACATGTTTAAGATCTTCCAAGTAAAGAGTTTCAGTGGGTTTTGGACCCATTTGTTAAAAACATAAAAAAAGCAACACCTTCCAATTAGTCTGCAAGAACAGCTGCTTGACACAGGGAAGACAGAAATATACTAGCCAAATTTTAAAAAAAATCTTTGCATAATTGGTGATTGGAGATTGAAATGGAGATTGAAAAATGAGTATCACACATTTGTAAGCGCAGACAATGTTAGACTTCCTCCTTTTGGGTCTACATATCTTTGTGAAAGACCATTTTCAGCTATGACAGCCATTAAAACTATGTACTGGAATAAACTGAACTTAGAATGAGATCTTCAAATCGTTGTATTATGAAATGTGAAATTAAGATTTTTAAAAATAGTAAAGCATATCCAATTGACATTACTGTCAGTAAAAATTATTATTACTAATAATGTTTTTAGTAGGATAAAAATGGGTTTGGACTCAAAAAATTTATAAAATATTGTTTATTTCATCTTTATTACATCCTTTATAAAATTCTGATTTTTGTGTATGACTTATAACATACGTAATATAGTAGTAGAGTAGTGTATATATATATATTGGGGGAACTCAATTTTTCACTGATGGGGTGCATAATCAAAAGTTTGGAGATCACTGATCTACATGATCAAGAAAGCAACATTGTCAGACAGAAGGCTACAGAGAGGCTTCTTTTTGTTTTCTTATACATAGTAACCATAAACATGAAAATAAAGCTAACTATGAGCTACCATATGAAGTCATGATGCAAATATTTAATCATAAATTAGAGCTGCAACAATACAGAATGTTAAGGCTCCTGATAAGTTTTAGTAAAGTGAATTTAAGATGATGCAAACATCCCTAAGACTTTGTACAGCTTTTCTACGGTAGGAAGGTGTCCATTTCCTTTCTTCAGACTTCCTTTTTTTTCCTTTTTAATAATCTCAGGAGTATAGGTTAATCATACTATGTTTTCATAATATAGGGCCATTTTGTACAGGCAATATTTTAGAAACTACATGACTACACTCCAGTTACTTTTCCAAAATGGCAGTTCAAATGTCAGAGTAGCAATTCCTGAAGACACACGTACAATCAGAACAAAAAATAATCTTACCTGTTCAGGATTTTATGGTCACTTACCAGATGTAACTCAGTTCCAGCAGTTCAGCTAGCTTGAACGTAGACTCAGTTTTCAATTATTTCATGTACTGATGTTATTAATAAACAAACAAGAAACCCACACACCCTGACAACTAGTACTTTTACAAAAAACAGTTTTCCTCTCATTTTGCCTTTGCTATTTATTTCCATAGCAAAGCTAACTGTACAGTATTTAGCAAGAGAAGGCAGTTTGTGAAAAGAAGCTATTTTTATGAAGTTCTGAAGTTGCAATGAAAGAGTGAAAACACTTTAAGATTTGGTGCCTTTCTGTGAGCTCTCTAGTCGGGGAATCAGAGTGAAATTGCTCCCATACAGGATGGTCAATGGCCTTTCTTTACCTGCAACGATCTCCATAAGCACAGCATCCTCGCTGATAATACCTGCACACCATGGCAGACTGACTAGTGGAGAGGTCATGGGAGTAGCGACAGTTGTCTCCTTCCTTGCAAACTCCATGCATGAAATATCTGTAAAACAGAAGGATTATTGTGAATTAAGGAGAAGCACTGAAGCTGTAAACGAAGTACCTGGATGAAGAGTTATTCTATGAATCGAGCTATGCTGAATTAAGAACACCACTAACCACATCCCAGGATAAACATACAAATAGGAACATCTGAGAAAAGATGAAGCCTTAGCTATTCCAGTGAACTGCACATTTAGGGACTTCCACTTACAAATACCTGAAAAAAATCTGCAAAGCAAATCTTATCCTGGGCTATGACAGAGAGGAGTGAGTCTTGGACAAAGTAGATAGGAACAAAGTTTTACTTGTAGCTCCTGTGTTCTGATACCACAAAAAAAAAAATCTTAAACCCACCACTGAATCCAAGAATCGGCCACACCCTAAACAAGTTTCCCCGAGGGCTTAAATCTATTTTGAATTTGAAAATAAATCCACCAGAAGTAATTTCCTCTCCAAGAATGGAAAACGTGTTTGTGACGGATAATTACCTCTGACAAAACATACACCTTAGTTTTTGCCATCCGAGCCAAAGAATCAGTAAAAACACTCTGCTTCAATACTGTGCTGCTGGCCTTGAAAGAATTGAGTTTCAAAGCTTTTGAGGGCAGTTTACTAAATTTTCACATGTCAAATAACACAAGTTTAATTGAGCATTCGCAAATTCAACTACTCAAGAAAACTCAACAGTGATTTTCCATTTAGTTAAAATTTTAACCTAGAAGACACAACTTTCTTTAAATTTAAAGCACTGTAACTACCCAGACTCAATATGCTCACATCAAAACCTCAACTGAAAATACAAGCTTAAGCACATCTTTCCCAACCAACATGAAGTACTAGTCAAGGAAGAAAACAAAACATAACTACTGTGTAAGAACTGAATCCATCAATACATTTACCAACACTTCAGTTCAGCAAGAAGCACTGGCCCCAGATACCAAGTAAACTGCAAACTCTGAACTCCCTGGAAATATCAAAACCTGGTAAAGAAGAAAATTTGTTAGGGTCTAGGTCTGATACAAATCCTTCGCTTGCCTATAAAACAGCACTTGAGGGAAGACTGAGAGGCAGATTATACCCTCCTAAACATATCTTGCGGCTGAAAGGGGCACTCCTGCCCTCCTCTTGTTACACACTTCCACCACTTTGCATTGCTACTCGCATACCTACACAGCTAGAACCACCAGGTCCTCCAACCAGCTGACTGTGCAGCCACACAGCAGTACAGCCAGCCCAAGAGACAGAAGGATCGTCTTTCAGCAGCCCAAAGTAAGATGAGGATAGCTCTTCACAAAGTCTATTCAAGTCTATATTCCTAAACCTAAAAGGTGTCAAGCTGTTGAATTGCACGAACTTCTGCGCAGGTATTTAGTCTACTATGTTTTTAACAAGTCTGATTTATCTGAGTGAACAATTCACCAAATGACATAAGCAGACCTGCATGTGTAATCCAGTACCAGGGATGTATTACAACCTGAGGTGAGTCTTAAAAGGGCTGGTAACACTCCATGTGCAAAACCAGTGGTGTATTCAAGGCACTAATAACAACAACAAAATCTAAAGCAGTTTTATAAGCCACCAGCTGACACTTGCCATCAGATGGCTGCAATTCACACTCAAAACAACCACCTGTGTACACTGTAGCTGCACAGTAACCAGGTAAGAAATGTGGTCCTACATAAAAATAAGTGGTAGAAGACCAAGATGAGGCTGTGCAGGATAGTCTCCCCAGAGGGATGAGCAGCCTAGTCAGGTTTGCCAAGTGGCTGCACAAACAGCTATGCCAGGAATAGGGTGTTGCAAAAACAAGACAAAAAACCCCACACTCCATAAGCACCACTCTCCATTGCTAAAAACAAACAAAAAAAAAAAAGGCAAAAAAAAAAAAGTCCCACCAAAAAAACCCACCACCCCCACACACATCAACAGGACACCACGACCCACCCACAAACCAACCCACTTCAGAGCAAAAAAAGCCAACAACCCACAAACTCGTGGAACCAGAGCATAACTGGAATTTCTGGCTTGCTTTCAAGAAATGGGAGTCACACCAGTATGGTAAAAACTAATTCAGGTGGTTAAATGTTTGTTCTCCTTAACAACTGTTATCTCCACCCTCTGCTTATTTCCACACTGCATTGCTTCCCCCATGTGTTGGGGCACCTGATTTCATAGCCACCCGCTGACTCAGATCAGGAAATCGCTTCAGATGTAACCTGACATTCCTTTTGCTGCCCCCATGGTTATTTTTAATCCAGATCAGATCACTGTTCAACCCCACTGCACAGCCTCACTGCTACTTAAGCCAACAAAGTGTTGGGACACCATTACAGCTGAAATAAATAACTAAGAAAAAGGCTCCAGCCTCAAGAGAGGACTTCTGTTAGGAAGTATTTGGTCAATACAACTTATGCTAAATACGTAAGCCTCAAAATCAGGCTCTCCCACTGCTTGTTAAGAGAAAACAGCTCCAAGTGCCATTCCTTCTTTCCCAGGTTATGTTAGAAAATCCTTTGCAAATACAGATTTTGTATAATTCTGAAAGTATTACATCAAGATGGTAGGCTCTAAACGAAAAAAAAACAAACAAACAAACAAAAAAAACCCCACAAACCTGAAACCTCATAAACTCGATTTAATTCACACGTCATTTTTAAAGGCCTGCAATCCTACGCAGCAAACTCTGCATCATTTGAACAAGAAGGCTGGGGTAGGAGGAGAGAAAAATTTATTTCTCACCAACTTCCCTCCTCCCCCCACCCCTAAGAGGTAAGATTTTTTTACTTTAAGGTCACAAATAATTTAACATTTTACATATGAAATTGTTGTGTTTGACTAAACTATGCTTTGATAATGTCAAAAAATAAACAGAGTGCATTATTTTTGGTGAAAAGTAATAAAACTTCTGTTGGAAAGCATCTTTACACACACAGATTATTCAATTTAACTGTAACTTTCCACAATACCAATACCAGCCTGTTTCCAGTTACAGGGAGAAAGGATCCTTTGAACTGAGATATACACACGTTACCTGCCTGCCTCAGTGACGTGTAGAAGGATAGCTGAAATTTGTATTTTGTCAAGCGCATGGAAAATACATATAATTTCATCTGAAAAAGTAAAACTCGATCAGAACAAGTATATAAGTGGATTTTCTCTGAGCATCTGACTCTGTCATCAAAAAGCACTTTTTCTGGCAGCAATCAATCATCTCTGCCTTTTCTATTCAGCTACACTGGCATAATTTGGTGAGGCTGCTTGGGGAACCAGAGCAGAGAACTCATCAGGGTCCAGAGGCAGATCATCTCCCTGGTTTGGCTCACTGCATGACTGCACAAAACACGAGTGTTACCAACACACAGAACCACCACACAGAAGTAACATCTGCCTGTACTGCCATTTACCACTGAGAAACATTTCAACTCTTGTCTAGTTGTGGATGCCTTGATCAAAACAGCATACCTGGATTTTATTGGGGTCACAGAAATCAGGCTTTGCCCATCCAAAAACCTCAAGTTGCAGACAAGATGTGGTGGGCATTTTTTGGAACCTTATAGAAAAAAATTTGCCCAAGGCCATAAAGCTAATCATGTCTCCAACTTCCCTGAATTCCAACTGCTGGAGAGAGGTCAGATGTTACAAGTGCTACAATTAATTTACTGGAATATTTGGAATTTTCAAGTTTATCCAGGTTTCAATTACCTTGATTTCCATGATGATTTAAAGTATAATTAATAATTTACTGAATATTTTGTTTTACACTGCTAGAATATTACTTTTATTACTTGCCATAAGCTAGAGAAAAAGAATTTGCAACGCCTTCATCAAAAAGACATTGCAGTGTTAAAACACATAGAACTGCACTCTAAAACCCTGAACATGTACTAGCTTCTTTCAGTATACTATGTCTTTATCCTCATAATCTTATTAGTGAACTCAATATGCAATACTTCTTTCCCTGGCTTCTGAAGCTTGCAATGGGTTTGCTTATTCAGGTGTGGTTTGTTCTCTACTTCAGGTCCACTTCATTCTGCTTTCAGGTAATCCCATTTTGTTTACTAAACTACTGGTTTTGCTGCATCAGAATGTCACACCCGGCAACAGACCTTCAAAAATACAGACATTGCCACCACTGGCAGACAGGGAACCTCAGGCTAATAGCCAACAGCAGTCATTAGCCTCTCCAGGTGCCACAGAGACCCTGAGAACTCCCAGGGAAGAGGAGGCCTGGCACACCGTTCTAGTGCAGCACAGGGGCGCTCAGCCACAGGAGCGGCTGACAAAGTCCTACATGAATTGGTAACCTTGAGAAAAAGAAAAAAGTAGGTCTATATAGTATTTATCTCCTTGTCCCTTCTTCTCCATAACCTTCTTCGGCAAGCAGCTAGCAGGGGATCCAGAACAGAGTAGCTGAGAAAAGGGCAATACAAGCAGGCAGTGAAGAGTTTTGTGCTCCACACCTTATCACTAGTGCTGCACTAAACTAAGGAGGCATACCTTACCGATTCAGATTCTTTATATTGAAAGACAGATAAATACCTGATCTAGGTTTTTAGAAAGAACAGCAAAGACACAAACACGCAGAGAACTCTCAAAATACACCAGTTAGTTACTAAGGGGTTTATTCAGGTTCAGTTATTAAACAAACAAGTGAAATGCAATCTATTTATGTCAATTTGATGACCTTAATTATTATTGCATGACATCTGGAAAACACAAGTATCTGGAGCTAAGTGTCAAGTCTTTGGAAAAAAACGTTGGCTATACTGCTGCTCAATAAAACCACGTAACAATCTGAAACTGGAAGGGCAGAGAAACTTGGTAGAGACCACTATTGTTTTTCTTATTTCAAACATATCAATAACAATAGAATATTAAATAAAAAGTTATCAATTTCAGTTTTTTTCAGATTAAAAAATTATGAATTATATACCACAAACACATTGAAAACTACTAAACATAGAAGCAATGTAAGACTAAAACCTGCATTTTGAAATTCAACCCCTTCATCTCTCAGTTATATCCTCAAACCCATTTACAAAGGGAAAACAAGATTTAATAGTACAAAATACATTTTCTTGAATATGAACACATCCTATCGAAACCAAACTCAGAAAAAAACAGTATTCTTATCTGACATTCCCAGAAACTCATGTTAGAATTGTTAATTTCACTTTAAAGTCGGAGGAAAGCCATGCTGCCTACACATTGAATGGTCCCGTAAAATTAAACAAGGAAACAAGAAAGTAAGCAATGGGATAACTAGGAGGATTAGTCAAAAAGAACAAAGAATGGAGAGGTTCATTGTGTCCAAAGCTGAGATCTCAACGTTGTTTAAGCTCACATTAAAGCATATTATCCATTACAAAAAAATAGTTTTGACTTCCCATTAGCTGAGTTTGTAAATAAATATATTCAGACTCACTGCACAGTACGTTAAACAGACACTGAACTTCACTGTCTCTGTACAGCAGTCTTCGATAAATTGTGTCTGTTACCTGAGAACATGCATACATATATATATCTCACCAATCCAATTTACCTAATTGAGCCTTTCGATCTTCAGAAATTATGAGGAAATCTATAGAGAGGGAGCACTAACCTATACCCTTGCAGCTCACTAAAAAGCTGAGCTAAGCATCATTCCCTCTCATTTCCTTATCACTGGCCTACGCTTAACTGCCATACATCAAATATTAACCCGGTTATCCCTAGGCAAAACTCTTTGTATTCATAAGTACTCAGAGAGAGTTGAGAAACGGGGCTTCTCCAATGGAGACGTTAACAGCGAATTAACAAAAATAAACAGCGATCAAAAGTTAACAGGAATGCTTTAAATACTGCAGGGCATACTTAACAGCACAAAAGAGAGACCCAAGAAGCAAGCTCCCTGTGAAAGGCCAGCGATGGTTCCCAACGCTGCTATTTCAATTTGCAATTGGCTCAAACGGAGTAAGAGGCAGAAGAGATCTAGACCTCACATCGAGATCTAGAGGCTCTTCCTTCCTGCCCAAGGGATGTTCCTTTTTGCTTCCAAGTGATTCGGAACGTACTTGCCCAGAAAAGTATGCAGATTAAATGTAATTTACTATCTTTATTTAGATAATTTTTTAAAGTATTTTTTTTAATAATCAGGAGACGCTTCTTGATGCTGATCTTGGATTACCACTTGCTTTAATATAAATGAATATATTTCTATATTCACAAAAACGTTTTTAAATTCCTTTCAGTCTGCAGACAGACCAGCAGTGTTCAGTTTAAAAATAGTCCATCTGGCAAGCTTTACAACATGCAGTATGATTTGCATAAGCCTATGTAAAAGATTTCTCAGAAATACCATTTAAAGGAAAAACCGAATATGAAATGACGCAGCATACAGAACCTTAACGTAATGCAAGGAGCAGCACTCCTCACATCCTGCAGCCTACTGCGACTTATGCCCACGAGTTTAACAATTTTTGCTGTATCAACCACAGGCTCGCCTCCATTTTTAAATTTTGATTCAAACGGACAAGAACTTAGATCTTTTTCTACTTCCTGCTTTACCGCGTTTTCTGGAACGCGGTTACAGGCCTCCCATCCTTCAGGCTCCCCCCACACCGATCACGGCGGGCTTATTTTCACACAATAAACTGCGGCCTACGGCACCTCAGAAGGAGCCAGCAACGCATCCACACCCCCACCCTCACCCCCAGCCTGACAAGGGGCCGGCAGCCACACGCGATGCGCACGGGAGCACCCTGCCGTGAAGGCGGGAGCAGAAGAAAGGCCCCGGCCCTCACGGCCCGCGGCTCCGGCGGGCTGGGCCCGCAGCGCGCTCGACGCCAGCCGGTACTTCCGGCAAAGGGCGGCCGCCACCGCCCTACACCCTCCCCCCCCCCCCCCCCCCACGCCGGGCCGCCGCGGGCGGTTCCCGCGGGGAGCGGAGCGGCGCGGAGCGGCGGGGCCCGGCCAGCTGCGCAGTTTGCCGCAGGCCTCCCCGAGGGCGCCGGGCGGGGCGGCGGGGGGGGCGCTGCGGCCGCGCGTACGTGACCGTGGGGGGAGGGGAGCGGCGCGGCGCTGAGGGAAACGGCCGCGGCGGGGGGGAGAGCGGGGAAGGGGGGGGGGGGGGGGTGGGGAAGGGAATGGCGGTCACGCCCGCCCTCCCCAACCCCAACCGTTCCCCCGCCACACGTTGAGGGCAGCGCGTACCTGCAAGTGACCTGCTTGGTCCAGCCGCCGCCTCCCAGCTCCGCCATGGGCGGCGGCACGGCCGCGAAGTCGAAGGCCGCGGCCATTTCTGCCGCGGCCATCTCTCCCGCGGCCGCCGCGGCGGATGTTCCCAGGGCCGCGGCCCCCGCCGTTGTTCCCAGAGCCACCGCCTCCGCCATTACTGTTTATCCCACACAGCGGCAGCACCGGAACTTCCGGGAGCGCATCCTTCCGGCCGGCCGGGCGGGCGGCGGCGGCGGCGGCGGCGAGGCGGGGCGGGGGCCGGGCGGTAGCGGGGCGGCTGAGGCGCGCACCGGCTCCGCCCCCTCCCCCCTGGTGGCCCCGCCCCCCCGGCTCCGATTGGTGGAGGGGAACGTCCGTGCAGTGGGGTGGCGGGGGGGCGCCGGCCGTTATCGCCGCGCGCCGCGGCCGTTGTCCCCGCGCCGCCTCAGGAACCGAGCGGCGTGTGGGAAGTCTCGGCGGCCGCCGGGACCGGCCCGAAGTGTCGGTCGGTAGCCGGGCCTCAGACGGCAAGCTGAGGCGGTGGGGCGTTCAGGGGCGCCCCGCTGCCGGGCTGGCTCAGGCAGCGGCGGGAAACGGGCTTTTGCCCTGGCGGGAGGAGCACGCAACGGCAACGTGGCGGGGGGGGGGGGGGCTCAAAACGAGCCAGGGGCGCCTCAAAAGTCCGGGCGGAAAATTGGCACTAGGCCACCGGGGAGCTCAGTGCTGCGAATTTGCGGTGAGAAAAGTTAACGTCCTTCTGCCATAGGAAATCCCCGTTGTGAAACAACTGTTTGCTTGATCTGCAGCATGTCGTTGTCTTCCAGCTGCCGAGGGTCTTGTGCCAAGGGCTAGACACTGCCCAAAAAGGCAGAGTGACAAGCAGGGATGCAGGGGCAAGGTGAAGAGAGAAGTCTGTCAGTGCAATGTTACTGATATTTTGCATATCTGTTTGAAAATACGTTTAAAAACAAACATATCAAAGCCATCAGTCACTTCAGAAAACATTGAAATTAAGCCTTTGTTTTAAAAGTAGACAGTAGACAAACACCATCCTAAGACAGCAGGACTTTAGGAAATGCACTAGTGAGGTCAGAAGAGGGAAATAATTTTTCAGGTTGCCTTGAAACAATGACTTAGGTGCCCTTGAATGACCTGAGGAACAAAGTAATGTGAATGCACTTGCTGGCATCTTCTGGAGTGACATAACAGACTGTAACAGACTACAAACCAAGGTAAAAGTATGCATCAGAAAAAAGGATTGCCAAAAGCTGAACTTCACGGGATTTGGGGAACAGAGGTCAGGGCACAGAGATGTTTAGTTCTTGGGAATTAACATGGTTGGTTGTATAAGACCAACCTTCACCCAAGACAAGGTGCTGGTGTCACATAAAGACTTCGATCGAGGTGCTCTGTGCAGCGTTGATAGTCGGGAGCAGCAGCTGCCTCCCTCCTGAGGTTGATGTCTGTAAATTCGGCTGCACAAATCACTGTTATGAGAACACCAGGATGTTCAGTGGAAAACTGAGCTGTCAGAGTCAGGAAGACCTTTTTAAAGAGTTTATATTCATAAGAAGAAAATTGTTTTCTTCACCTGATTCCATCACAGAGCATTTTTCATATGATGTTTAACACTGAAATGTAAGTTCAAAACCTGCACCAAGTTTGTATGTTCAGTCTTACATTCTGTTAGAAACAGCTGGAGAAAAGAATACTTCATGTTAGGGGGAAAAAAAAATTAATCAAATACTTTACATCAAGCCATTAAGATAATCTGGAGAGTTCTTTTGGAACCATTAGAACAATCGTGAAGATCTGATAAAAGTGCAGGGACATAAACCTTTAAAGATGGGTTAAGTGACTAAAAAGCAACTTTGTCAGGGCTTTGTATTGGTTAGGTTGTTGCCTTACTCAGCAGCCCCGGCAAGGCAGCCAGTTCCAGGCACTGTAGTTCACACAGAGGTAAAATAAATAAATGGTTAAATACATGTGTTCTGTATGATTCTGCACATCCCTCGCACATCTCCTGGGTGCACATCTCCTGGACGCCGGCGCCCTAGGAGCGAGCTTCACAGCAGGGAGATGCCAGTAGGCACATTCCAGTCTGCAGAGCTGCTGCAGGTTAATAGACTCTTAGAAATCAGGGACACGGGGAAAGGAGAATGCTGTCCCAAGGCAGACGTGCCAGTATTAGCGTGCCAAATTATCTATTATTAATGTGCCAAAATCAATGTGGAGCTTCTCATTTCGCTAATGCCTTTGGTAGTGACGCCCCTGAGAGAGGAGAGGTTCCAGAGGAGGTGGTAGCTCGGGAAGAAGCCACTCGCAGATGAAAATGCGAGCGTGGCCGGAGGGCCCAGCTCCCAGCAGGCAGTAGGAATTTGCCACGGTGCTTTCTTTGTTCCCAGCCGCTCCCATTTCACCCAGCAGCCTGTTTAATATTAACCTCTACTTCTGAGGCCCGGAGGGGGAAGGACCAGCAGCAAGCTGGCTGGGCCACTGCAGGCAGACAGGACTGGAAAGTCAGCTAACGCTGTAGTGAGCAGCAGAGCAAGTTATATGCAGTGTGTGTGTCGTCCCGTCCCCCCCCCCCCCCCCCCGTTTCCTACAAAAACTGTCTCCAGCAGTTTTCTGGGGCTTTCTCTTCCATCTATGTGCTGTAGTCTTGACTGCTGCCCCTCTATACCATCAGCAGCCGTATATCTCATTTCAGAAATGTGCCTGGAACAGCACGGCCAGCCTGCCTCTCAGGGTCGGGCAAGGTATCAAACTGACCCATCCATTCTCTTCCTGGTTCAGCAAGCCTCAGTGGCTTTTCTAGTAGAGCAAAAGGTGGGATTAGCCCTTGAAAATTGCTAATACAAGCTCATATTTTCATTGTAATAAACCCAAAAGCCAAATCCAAAACCTGGGATGTGCACAAGACTGCAGGAAGGCCTTCGGAGAGCTGCTTGAGGGGTCCTGTTTTGTCTCAGAGACCTACAGGTTCATATTGGAAAGCAGAGCAAGAAATCCAACAGCCTGATTTTCCATTTGGTTTGGGGAGAAAAATGGCAAATCAGGCAACACACTCTTGGCCCTGACTTATCTGATGCAGCAGACCAAACTACCTGCCCACTGCATAAGATCATCTCAAGATGATCTTGATCTTGAGAGTTGGAATTGGAGTGACTGGCTTGACTACTAAATCATCATCTGGTAGCATGCCAAAAATGTGACAGCCCAGATAGGTTCCTGCAGTACTGCGGTCTTTCCAGAGAGATCTAATTGAAAGTAAAATGGTGCCATTAATATTTGTGTTTATTTTTCAAAAATGTAATTTTGCCTACATAGTTTTGTTTCAATACATCTGGCTACCCATCCCCCCCGGAAGAAGATACCATTCACAAAATCTTCAGCATCCATTTATGGTATCTGAGGATGTAATCTTTCATTCCTGCAATTAAACTCCCTGCAGGCTGCTTAGCGGGAGTCAGAGGTGGATTGTCTTTGTAATTTAGCAAGCTTTGTTTGGAGTTTCCTTGAATGTGTTTAGTTTAAAAGATTGGAAAGATGTAGAAAATAAGATGTTCATGACTGTGGAGTTAAACAAAAGTTGCAGGAATCTTCTTTTGAAAGGGACGAGTGTAAAGTGTGAATACTGCTTTAACAACCTCTGTGTTACAATTTCCTGATTAATGGATTGCAGTAAAATCAGTTCCCTGACACTGATTGCTTCAGCAATACACTAGCAATTACTTTAGCTAGTTTTATGCATGGAAGTTGCATAGAATCATGTCTTGCCTTTTAACCCGTAAATCAGTTCCTTCCTGGGTAGCCATTTAACTCTGACCTCTGATATTTTCTGTAGGCTACAAAATCAAAACTTGCATATCTGTGCATTAGATCTCAAAGTATCCTTGCATTTTTTGAAGGGACACAGGTTCATTAATTTCAAAGTCGTCATTCAAAGCCACCCTAAACCTGTAAGAATTGATTGTCTTTGCAGTAGGAGACTACAATAGTTTTTTCTCTGTGAACCCAGCTTGTGTTCTCGGTGTAGCCGGACGTCTGTGTCGTACAGATGACAGGCCACAACTGGCTTTAGACCTACAGCGTTCCCGGCTGAGGAGGCCAAGAGCAGGGTAGAGCTCTTACCCTGGGAAGAAAGAGTGTAGCAGCTGCATTTGGCAAAGTTGTGGGGGAGGCATGAATGCAATTCCTCTGCTTTTTAGGAATAAATACAAAGGGGCTCAGTCTGCAGAGGCATTGTTTTAGTGAGCAATGAATTCACCGATTTAAAAAAAAAAAAAAAAAAATCTAACAGCAAAAGAATCTGAAAAATGAGAACAGTATTTTAACTAGCGAGAGGAAAAATCTGGCACCGTGTGAACAAAAATAATCACAGAAGCTTCCCTTGTCCCGTCGTGAAACGGCCCCCCGCACCCCGGGCGGCGAGCAGTTGCAGAGCTCAGCTGTGCCTGTGGTTAATAATAAATGGGCTCTCTCAGCCAGGAGCGCCGGCCTGCGCACCCCCACGCTGCTGCCGGCCCCCCCCGCCGCCCGCCTTCTCCCAGGGCTGCCCAGGCCCCGCTCCAGTAGCCACCCAGGCTCCCTGCGGGAGACGGACGCCCAGAGGTAAGAGACAAGCCAGGCCATTGCTCCCCGAGGTCGGATGCGCCGGATCGATGGCGAAGGGGAGGCGAGCAGGGGCAGTTTTGGAGGAGGGAGGAAAGGAGGTCTGTGCTAATGCCGCCTGAAACTTGCACTTGGAACCTTCAAAGTTTCGTTACGAGGGGAAAGGTCGGACGGGTCTCGCCGCAAAACTTGCCAAGCTTCAAAGATTTTTCAGCCGGCTCAGGCTGATAGTTGGCTGAGTTTCCAGCAAACGTCAGCTAATTCATATTGGGTTTCAGGTGGTGACCAGCTGGTTTTTATCCACCGGCCAGCACGGCTTCGGCACTCCTGACTGTTGTGCTTCGGCGTTCGGGGGGTTGTTAAAATGCAGAGCACAACTCCAGCAGCTCAACCCATCCTTGGCGTAACCTTGGTGGCCTAATGAATTTATTCCAAAGCTGACTTTGCCCCCGAGAGTGAGGGGTGTGTATACACACACACACACAGAGCAACACCAGGACATTTGCCTGAACCGCTCAGGCTGCTGAGCTTAGTACTGCGCAGGCAGAGGTTGTAAACGTGAAGTAAGAGCTTTTGCCACTTTTGTGTCATGATATGATTTCATAAACTTAATTAAGGTTTTTCATTCCTAGAAAGGATTTAGAAAATGGAAAATCATAGTGTTTCAGTCAGGTGTGTATTGTGTCTATCTGAATCA